TTCTTGGAAGAACGTGTCCTGTTGGCACACACTCTATGTGTGCGTAACGCATCCATTGTCATTTGATGCCCACTCATAATTATGTGACAAAAATATGCTCTTACATAAATGAGGCGTATCGTTGTACGTGCGCATCTTTGATGAAAATCAAGCTGCATATTATCATGATAACACGGGTCCTGTAACAAGCGGTTAACACATTTTGTTTAATACAAATTTAATAATTGAAAAATTACACCATTGGTTTATTTAACGTGAATTCACATTAATATGCGTATATCAATACTTACGGAACTGTGGGAGGTAACACTGTCCAAATTCCTGAGGAGTGCATCGTCTACCTTCGGCTGTAATGACAATAAGCCCTTAACAAAAATGATATCAACATTCAAATATAATTAGCCACAGTGTTGGTTAGGTCATAATGACGCGCATATCATTTTGTTCCATCACACGGCTAATTCGTATTATCATTACATTAAGTATATAATAATTAGTATCTTCATTTGAAGGACACTCATAAGGAACGCATGGCCTATATTATTAGTTGTCAACCGATTGCGAGGGGCTCGGGGTGCATAAACTCACACACATCACACCATATGCTCAGAGGGATATGTAAACAACGAATGTATCTTACCGACTTTCATTCTTACAGGTTCGGAATACTACTATATGTCCGCGGTTTCGGCAAATCTCTCAGCAAACGACGAAAACGAACCTAGTTACTTCCCTTTACCTAAATGCATTCGGGTACACATTGCTTCATTTCAACTCAAGGATATTTATTCGAGATATGCAAGTTACCTACGACGTGTTCCTATGGGGTACATGAGCGCTTCTTAACCAATCAGAGTGAGTGAGTGAGTTGGGTTTAACGCTGCTTTTAACATTATGCCAGTTATATCACGGCGTGTCAGCTTAGTGTGGGAGGAAAGCCCGAAGTGATGCAGTTCTCAGACGTTTATCACTTCGGTGAAATCCACAAGCATGGGTAAGGTGCTGACAAACCTAGAAACATAATCGGGACGAACCGGAATTCGAACCCACAATCATAGGTTTCTGGCGTGCCCAAGAGACGCAACACTGCACACCTAATCGCGGCGCCTCAGACGCCTTGGCCACCCGCGCCCCCTTAACCAATCAGAAGCTAGTATTTGTATGTTAAGTGAGGTGAACCATGTTCACTCAAAACGCATGTGTTGCAACCAAATCGTTTCAAATATTCAAGTAAAGATTGATCCATACTTATAATTGGTACCAATATTGTATACGCTGAAGGGTGTGTACACTGTTTCAAGAAGCTGTAAAAAATAACCCCTCAAAAGGTTAGGTGACATGAAGGCGTAATTGCACAAATTGCTACAGTTTGGCTGCAACAAATGGATTCTAGTGAGTGAGTGAGTTGGGTTTAACGCCGCTTTTAACAGTATTCCAGTTATATCACGGCAAATGGATTCTAATGATGCATCGGTAATACATTTATATATAGTGCGTCATAAGTACAGTACGTCAATGTGGCCGATCGCGACAAGATTAACTTGACGGGGACATTTCCGAAGTTGTTTGATACTTGTGGTGATTACTACATATAGTGTTTGTCATCATTAATCAGCTGGCCGATCACTGAAAGGAGATAGCAAAGATGGGCCATATAGATACGGAGGTAAATCCATAGATTGCTGTAGACTGTCACTGCCAGGCCGGGTGCGGGATTGTAGTTTGTGTGTGCATTTCTTCGTTTTGTTCACTTTTACTAATGTATGGGTGAACGCAGAGTTCAAGATGGAGTGTGCGGACTGTACAAAAAATATCGTATTTCTGTCATTGGTTCGTAATGTAATAGAAATATTATTTCCAAACATTCCAGCATGCATGTCTACTTCAATTAATCAGACGTTAAATCTTAAAAAAACAATCATTTCATAACAGTTGTAGGTCTGAAAATGACTTTGCAGAAAATGAGTTCAAATGTTTGATGCCATGTATCTCTGTAATACATATGAATTGAAGGTTATGAATTGTATTTGTGTTGTCCAAAGATACTGTAGTTTCATAATATAATATGAAGTCTAAATGTGATTAGTCACAAAATATTGCCGACAATGGCATTACATCTTCACATTTCGATGACAATTAAATTACCAAGGAGACGCAGTCACGAATTGATCCCCAGTAACCTCAGCTTTTCAGAGAGTCTTGCTGACGTAGTACATTGCGTGTCAACCTACCCCTAACGGCTTGAGACAATGCTCATACTGTCAACCACTCGAATATCTGGCCAACACTCGATCATTTATGACCGCTATGAAAAAGCTGGAATATTACTAACTGTAACGTTACGTCTAACAACATCTAACCAACGATCAGCAGACGAAGTACAGGACCTACCTGTGTCTGCCACAATGTAACAGCCGCATTTCTTGTACACTGTCGCGGCACGACAGGTCCTGATGCACTGGTTGTAGGACGTATAGCTGACGTTGGTTGCCGGGGATTGCAGATCAAGACATTCCCGTTTCCCAAAGGCGGTGAAAGGTCGAGGTAAGAACTTGTACTGCAGAGAAGATCATGTCATGAAGTAAACTTCCCATGGTGAGAGCGGTGGAGAGCCGGAACCACTTTGTTTATTGTCGTGTGAATGAGAACCGTGTGGTGAGAACGTATGCGTCATCATGTCCTAACAGAGTTGTTGTAAATATAGCATAAACACTGGGTTATCGTACTCCCACACCATAGAATGTATTTTTGAGGTGCATTGACTTGAGACGCTTGTGTACGGAAGGCATTAAACACACATTTAACATCAAGACAGATTATATACACCAAATATTTCATGAGGTGAAGAAACATTTCTAACGTTTAAAACATCTGCGAGCGCTAGACTTTACCTCATACATATATACGATCTATATATATTACAGGCGTCCGGCTTATATATACTCAACAACAAAAGTTCCTGTGATATAGTTCCACCAATAATTGAGTGTATTTTTCAAACAAGTAAAGTTTGGTTTTCAATATTGTAGTACATGTATGGAATCAAGTCACAAAAACGCAACTGCTACAGAAAGGCATGCATTCCATGCAAAAGTTTACTTTTATGCAAGCCCTATGCATTTCACTACCCAAGAATGGGTATAAAACCATGTGCGTTAACGGGATTCCATATGCATTGTTTAGCATCGTGCTGACAACAACCACTTAGAAAAACAACAAATTTACGCAATTATTCAACATTACGAAATGCCACGCCTGTTCGAAAATGAGCGTCTGCGAGCCATTGGTATGCTTGAAGCAGGATCGTGTGAACGTGATGTTGCAAGACAATTAAACATCCACAGAAACACCATTTGGTGTTATGGCAACGTTGGCAACAGGCGAACGCAGTGAGAGACCATCCTCGGAGTGGCAGGCCACGCGTATCAAATAATCGACAAGACAAATGGATTCGAACAACACACCTACCAAATCGATTCCAGCCACCAACAGTGACTGCAAGAAGCATCCCTGGCCTTCGACGAATATCTTCACAAACCGTACGTCGTCCCCTCAGATGTGCAGGAATTGTCGCCAGAAGACCCGCCAGACGTCCCATTTTAATAGGAAACCACCATCAAGCACGTCTACAGTGGTGCAGACAGCGTCTTCGCTGGTCGGCCATGCAGTGGGGACAAGTTCTATTCACTGACGAGTCTCGTTTTCACCTCAGCCACACCGAGGGACGCATTCGAGTGTACCGACGTGGAGGTGAACGTTACGTCAATCATTGTGTCATGGAAGAAGATCGACTCGGGGGCGGCAACGTTATGGTATGGGGTGGAATTACAGCAAAACAGAGGACCCGTTTGATAGTGGTAGAGGGAAATCTCAATGGACAGCGCTACCGCGACGACATCATCGGCCCTGTTGTTCTACCGTTTTTGCGTCGTCATGGCCCAGGCATTACCTTTCAACATGACAATGCCCGGCTTCATATTGCTCGACTTGTTCAGGATTCCAATGAACAAAACAACGTGAATGTCATCCCCTGGTCGACTCCCTCACCTGATCTCTCACTAATCGAGCACATGGATCGGCGCCTTCGACGTCAACCACGTGTTCCACAGACACTCCAGGAACTTCGAAACATGCTCCAGCAGATATGGACAGATATCCCACAGGACATTATGTGACGCCTGGTCCATTCCATGAGACGAAGATGTACTGCTGGCATCGCAACCAGAGGTGGACACACAGGCTATTGATTTGTAAATTGACATTTTGGGATGTTCATATTTTTTATAAAGTCAGTATTGCAAATTAAACCATTTGAACACTTATAGTAGTTTTTTATCTGTTATCGAAATTGTTTCAGATTTGGTAAAAAACCATAGCTTTGCATTAAATCTTATTCAGTGTCACAGGAACTTTTGTTGTTCAGTATAAATTCAGGAGATATACATATCGAATATTCATATTATTAGTATAATAATATGACTATTTCGTTTGTCTCAGAACAACTATCTGGCTAATTCAATAATATATGTATATCATCAAATAAACGATGGCTATCTTAAATATGTTTAAACAGTAACATAACGTCTCATCTGCATGAGAAGAATACCTCTTCCTTTGACATTTGGATGTAGGTGGTTGTTCCAGTGCCAGCTATAACCTCGGACGACTCGTCATCAGGATGTGTGGTTTGATCGTGGACTTTAACCTGTGAAACATGATCATCATATCATCATAGTCATCATAACTACCAAGGGACATACGCGACCCAGTCGTCTGGAGCGCCGCAAATTGCTGTGCAAACCTCAGTCCCTAAAGCGTGATAGAAACCTGTACATCGGCGATAGACACTTACATTTAATATAAATCTCTCTCGACTCATGCCATTTTGAGTTCCGCAGTGAACATCCTTATTATATAGAATTAATTGGAGACAAACAGAAAGTCATACATTTCTGTGAGGTTATATCTAAATTCAGTTGTTTATATTAACGTTTTTGGATCTATTTTGAAAGGAATTGAAAACCCTTATTTTCGTCATGTAGCATCAGAGGAGGTTCTCTCACGTGCCTCTACAACAGAGAAACACCACATGCACAAATCCGTTGCCACTTTTATATACTTGTGACAAGAATGCAGAGCGATCGCCATGAAATACCGCGAACTACATGTATGTCTTTTTCATCCTATGATATGTTTCTTGTTTGGGATCATGTAGCTTGGTTAGGGTGAGTTATATCGGTAGGGGAGAATTTATTGGAATAAAATAGGTTTATTTTAGGACATTTGATTACGGGAGTGAGAGGGGAGGTTGTAATTTATCAAGTTGAAGAGTTGTATAAAAATGGTACGTAGGTAGGGAAGGGGGAGAAATAGGTAGGTTTTTTTAAAATTGAGTAAATCAAGGTTTGGCCCCTGTTGCTTTTGTTAAAATATACTTGAGATCAAACTTAACTCATTGTGTTTTGCGTAATCAAAAGTGATAACCCGGTCGGGAGCCTCATAGAATATGAAGACAAAATCAAACTGCACAGGGAGAAAACAACACAACGCAAAGCACCGCAGTAAAATATCAAACTTTTTATAACCAATTTCTATTGTTCTACTGTCACTTGGCGCCCATTACAAATCCAAAGGTATGTCACATCTGTGTTTGAACGTTCTACAGGCAAGTACTTACAGCAGACACTGACTCACTACCAACCCACTGACCCACCAAAACACCCGAAACAAAACCAAAACATAAGAACCCGCCTCCAGACCCAAGAATAGGTCCCAAACAATCGATGCTGGTCGTACGAGGTAACATAATGGTCAGAGAGCATGACATTGTGACGTTGCACATATTATCAATCACTGGTTTGCCTGTTCCAGAGCAGTTTCATGTACCGGCCACTGTGGTATATAGTTGCACTATCACTGACTGTGGCGTTGAAAAACAAATAGACGCAAAGCTCTCTCACACACACGAACACACAAGACACACACACACAAAGACACACACACACACACACACACACACACACACAAGACACACACACACACACACTCTCTCTCTCTCTCTCTCTCTCTCTCTCTCTCTCTCTCTCTCTTACCACGACTCCTGATGCAGGTTCTTGGGAAAACACATAGTTGTCTTGATCCACGTAAACCAAAACGACCAGGTTGGTGGAGCTGCCAGTCATCGTTGTTGTCAGTGGGGAGCTGGCGTTGACATTAAACTGGTAGCACATCCCTGTAGCTGTATGCACTGGGGTAAACAGGGGCCCACATGGGTAATTCACGCCGTTGAACCAGCACAGGATGAACATTGTCTCCTTTTCCATGGCAACTTGCTCATACCAGGCCGCGCTTAAATCGGTTTTGAAAAAGTCATGACTGTCATAGTTTGTCTCAGTAGCTAGTCCATACAAAGGACTAGACTGTAGAAGAAAGTTAAGTATCTCTTGGTTGTCCATGATATTGAGCTTGCTTATGTTTACAGGGCTGAAGTTACAAATGGTAACTGCGGGGAATATAAGAGACTCCATGACTTCTACTGAATAGCTGGTCATCTTAGGGTAAGTGTAGAACTCTCGCATGGCTGTGACCAGCATGAATATAAGCAGTGCCGTCATCGCTGCTATTGCCAGTGACCACCAGAATCTGCAGTTAGAGAGCATTCTTAAACTAAAAAATAATGGATCATGAACATGTTTTTGGATACACACAAGTCCACTGACTGACCGACCGACCGACCGACCGACCGACCGACCGACCGACTGACTGACTGACTGACTGACTGACCCACTCACCCACCCACTGATTCACTCTTCTACATACTCACACTCTGATTCTATAGGTGAGGGCATCCTCGTTTCCCAAGTGGCTGACTCCATGTAAGCCTGTGCTTTGGATGTAATTACTCCACAAAGTTTTGATACTCTTATTACTTGAGGTCCGTGCTGGCATCTCTCTCCTTGGCGTCGACACTGACCATGCGGACATCTGCTGTCTGGACGTCACCGGTTCACCTCTTCTATTCATCGTTGTTACAGGTGGCAAATGTAACTCATTCGTGTGAAACACAAGTGCCAGCAGTAGATATGAGACTAAAATACTAGACGAAACTGAGCGTTAAGAAGAATATTGAGCCACATTGACAAATTCAAATGAGAGTTTTGATTGCATCAACGCGTCAGAGAGATGTGTATACAGCGACCTTCGCTAACGCTTCATATCCCTAAAGCAAACATCCCTCTGTTACGCAGTACAACATCGATAACGCCACGGCGACAAAAATACATTGATTGAAGACTACTGTCTTGAGAAAATAGTGTGTTTGTTTAGGAAGGTTGATGCCCCGTTATCTTTAACGATAACACATTACAGTGTATATACGAGGAACAACATTTAAGGGAACACCTATCATTTCTGCTGGAAATATGAAATGGCCATCTTTGTTACTCGAGACACGGTTCCTGAACGCGGAAAGCAAACTCGCTCAAACTTTTCATATTTTACATGTACAGCATGTGGTCAACGGTGACACATCCTGCTTAACACCATGTGGTAATACACGTCAGAACCACATGGCACATTGATCGGGTACAACGAACGGAAATGCCTCCAAAAGTGTAAATGGCAGAAAGTGAAACATTCTCTGCAATAGGCATGACTGAAGCTGGCCAATAACAGAACGCATTTGCCACACAAGTTGGTAAATCTAAAACAGATGGAATGACATTGCCAAACAGATTAGGGTTAAGATTAGGGTGGGTAGAGTAAGACCAAGAAAGCCTACTCCCATGCAAGATCGATATGTACATGTAGGCACCATTGTTTTGAGGAACACATTCATACTTGCACCAGAACTTACGGACATCTTGACTTTCGACGTAAACGATACGAAACAGGTTGAAAACTGCGGGTCAAGACATCCTTCCAATGAATGTGTCTAACTGTGGCACACATGTACAGGCGCCTCAGACAACAGTCGGTACATCAGTTTGGAGGCCGCCAACAGCAGCATTGAAGATACACCACGTTTTCTGATGAATCGAGGTTCTGTTTACGCGTTTTTGATGATGGACAGCATGTTTATAGACAGTGTTGAGAGGGTGCAATCAGGCAGCAGCCCAAGTGCACGAGAGGTAAGGTGGTGGCAGCATCATGGTCTCACTTGGCATCACATAAGACAACAGAACAGTCGTGATGATGATGATGATGATGATCGTGCAAGTAAAAATTACCTGTCAACATGATGTGGACCACATGTTACTTTCAGCGATCATCCCATTTGCCCAGTCCGTAGGTCAGAACTTTGAGTTCCAGGGTGACAACGCACGTCCTTACAGATCTGGTGTTGCAGTCGACTGTCTGAGGCAGCAAGGAGTCATAACACTGTCCTGGCTAGCCAAATCGCCAGACATGTCACCGGTTGAACACCTTTAGGATGATCTGAGCCAAATGATTTGCAAATGACCTCAGCTTTCCCAGAGTTTGCAACATCTTGGACAGACCTTGCAAGAAGAATGGCGAAGGACACAAGGGGAGACAATTCGGCCTTTGCTGTCTAGTATATACCTTGATGCTCATGGGGCATGAACCAGATATTGAAAACTATGGAGATTGAATTCCACGACGTCATTTCTAAATACATATGGGGGTTCCCTTAAATATTGTTGCTAGTATATTTCAATATCTTAAAACTTTTACATTATTCTACATATTTATTTGATATGTATTTGAAAGATCGATGAAAGATCACTGCATTTGTCTGTTACATGCATTTATTTACAAAGATATATTTTGACTGTATTAAGGTTAAGTATTTTGTTTGAGCAAAAGGTTCAGAAGATATTTAGCACGATGGAATCGATAGAAAAAAATGTCCGCATTCTAGGATTACAAGTTGGTAAGGACTTATAAGGGCACATTCGTTTTCTAAGTCTATTTTATGTGTCACGTTGTGCACCAATGCTTGATTTGTGAACTAATAAAAATAACGTATGATTCACGTGAAAATCCAGTATTATTGATTTTAGAAACCTGTACTTGGTCGCCGTTTACAATTACCGAAAATAAGTAATGAAACGTCAATGATAATGATAACAATGCTTTAATGATCATGATGGCGATAGTGATATGATAAATTATGTTTCATAAGCACGGATCTCTTCATTAAAAGCAAAGATAATTTTGTCATATAACAATATGCAGCGCTGACCATCACCATCTCATTGTCTCTTAGACGTGTTTTGGGCAGATTTCAAATTCTTAATTATTTACAAAGGGATCATCACTACATTTTCAATGTTGATCATTCAGTATCCTAATATTTATCGTTTTACGTGAAGACCCATTTGCGCTGGAGCTGTGTTTTTAACAAAAGTAATACGAATGTTTCTGTTTACCCAGACGCTGATATCCCATCAGTTTGCGAAATTGATGCGAACGATGAAAAAAGATATTGACATGAAATTAATTCATGTTTAATATGATCCATTGTAACTGGTGTAAACACACTTTCAGCAACGTAGACATTGTTCAAACCATATATATGATTTATTGGTTATACTCATGTACAATACGCACAATGCTATATCTGATTGAAAACAAGTTTGTTGTTCAATAATACAATTCGATCATCACGTTGTTTGTGCATGAAAGGTTAATGTAAACGATCAAACGTGAAGTGCTTAAAATGATTACGGAAGAAACTCCTATGAAATACTTGTTGTAAGGAACTACCATTTGAGACAAGCGATTCTTATCAAATAAAAAAATTCCATAATCATATAAAAGCTTTGCTGAAACTAGAGGACATTGTACGATTCGGCTAAATCATGAGCATGTGTTTATGAATCAAATATTGATAGATGATACCAGATGCTCGCGAAAAGGTGAGTGTTTCCTGCCCTACTGGTGGAACCTTTATAATTACAAACACATGCAAAAGCAATTCAATTGTTATTCTGAAAAAAAATAACATACGGGAAGTTGTATGTGACACAAGTCAAAATAGGGAGTTGTATCGAACATCATTCTTGGTATGATGCATTAAAATTGGATATGTCCTCCACTTGTCTACAATAAAACGTTTTGAAAGCTTTGTTTATGTCTTAAATATTGTAGCCCTGGTCAAAAAACAATTTTGAAACAGCTGTATGCTGCTCTTTGAAATATCCGTAAACGGAGCATGCTTTATTGTATCACAAAATCGTGAAATGTAAAGTTTATGATTTAGAACCAATGCCCATTGTAATAAGACCGCAATGCACCATAGTTACCCTACAATCCGTCTTGCTAAACGTAAATACATCATTCCTCCATGCAACTGTGATGATGCGTGGTCGTGGTCGTGGTCGTGGTCGTGGTCCCGAATCCAAGAATTCCTGGTCATGATTATTTGGTTTTCAGCATACCCGTGCCCGATGGATTCATGAAAGGGATGAACATATAGAATCTTCATCACTTTTGCTCTTCCTTCCATTTCAAGCTGAAATGCTGAGATGGAACTAAGACGGAACTGAATCTAAAAAACACTGTCCGCATCCTAGGATTACAAGTTGGTAAGGACTTATAAGGGTACATTCGTTTTTCCGAGTCTATTTTATGTGTCACGTTGTACACCATTGCCTGATCTGGGAACTAATAAAAATAACGTAAGATTCACATGAAAACCACTAAAACCAGTGAAAATGGCATGAGGGCTTTTAATGCCCTCGAATGAATAAAACGACGGTAATATACATGATCTATCCTGGAGTATGTGTGGGAGGTAGAGGGGTGGTAGGGTGGGGAGATAAAGTCATCTCTTTTTTCATGTTTCTGAAAGCAGTGAAGATTTACGAGAGAAAATCAATCAAAGAACAATTTCTGCTATACATGGACATTTCTCTCCCCCTCTTACATGTAGATACTCGCTATCGCATTTTTAAACATATCACAATCGTGTAGGCAGTTATGGAATGTAATCATGACTACCAATGGATTGTCAACCCTATCCCTTGTCAGTCCTGCGGGGACAGGCGGATAATATGATCTATATGTTCAATGACAGTACCATCGATAACGTTGAAACCATAGATTTGCAGAACAGCTGCAGAACAAAGCTTCACTCATAACCTGAATGACAAATTGATACTGACTAATCCGTCCCATTATTTACACATGTATTCAATTATTCATGTCGTATTTGTTCAACTTTAAGCCAATAGTAATGTTCTTGTACATTGCGTACCGTGTGTAGGTCTGACAAACGAAGCCATTTATAGTACTGCAATAGGAAAAACACAATTGCGAAACTATTGCAATAGTGGTGTAATGAGTGGTTTGGTAAAATCTATTGATCATGTGCTTCGGAATTGCGAAATTTCCCTTCAAATATGACAGGAATTGAAAATGAGGTTTCATTCCATACAAATATCTTTAAATGTTACAAAGCAGATCATATCGGGAATAAAAGGGGGAAAAACAACAATCATGTAAATGCAATGATTTTATTTGTTAAAAAATTATTTCATTGTAGTACAAAATAACTTATTCCAAAGAGAATACATAAAGGAAAGAGGGTTTGGGCGATCCTGGCACAGTTAGGCTTGTTAGGTCCATAATCAGCTCAGGTTCCTTGTCCCCTCTACACGCAGCCAAGACAGCGATTGGGACTTCAAAAAGGAAGGCGAACCCACCGAGAACCTCTCGACGAATGTGAAGACGCCTCAACAATGCAGCCTTCTGCATTACCCAGATTGTCAGAAGGACTGTATTCCTGGTAGCAAACCCGGGTACTCTCCCAATGTCACTCAACAGATTGGCTGGTATCAAACCTAAGGCAAGGAGAACAATGGGGAGTCGGACAACTTGGTACTTGGGCGTGCAAGCGTGACATTTCGAAAGCGAGGGCCGCATATTTGCCATGTTTTTTCCTGAATCTTTTCAATCACACTGGTGTCAAAAGGGAAAGCAAATTCAATGATATGAATGATATGAAAGATTCATTGGATTAATCAAAAAGGAGAAGAATCAGGTTTGTTGGCCTGGATAGGTCTGAGGCTGGGTACGGGCCTATTCCAAAGAATTTTGTATTCATCACTTTCCATGACATCCTCTACATGATCGTTCGATGGATGAACCTCCGTGTCAAAACCACAAGCATTGCGAAGACGGTAATAAAATGATCGAGCCACTCCATCATGTCTCTTAAGATGCTGTGTTTGTCCCGAAGCAGGTCATCCAGTGGCAATGTGTTGGACAGTCTCATTAAATTCAGTACATAATCTACATTCATATTCACATTTTGATGCAAAATCACACATTGACGGTTTCGAGTGGGAAGTGACTGGTCCTGAGCAGCAACAAGAAAGCCTTCTGTTTCACTTTTCAGGCCAGACGACTTCATCCAAGTGAAGGACTCTGCAGGATTGCTGATCCTCCCAACACACTGCACATAAACTCGATGTAGCGGTCGTGCAGAAAGCCTCTCCTTGAAAAACTGAATCTGGGCCGATTTGATATGGCGCTTCGCTTGGTTGACACTCATTTCTGTACCGTCCAGCAGTACAGAACCATCAACAAAATCAACACCGACATTGAGATTACGTCCCACATCCTTGGCTCGTATTAGAAAACTGTGGAATGCCTTGTTTTCATCTTGTCTTGACATGCTTCACAAGATATGTAAAAATGTGTGCAAAAGTGCACAAAACAATTCTATCATAAAGAGCCTCCACATTAATCAAGTCACGCCCTCCCATCATAATTGGTAAATATAAGCCATTGAGGGAAGAGCGTGGGTGGTGGGATCTATTGTCTGACATCATTCTTCGTGTGAGGGTGTCAATACTCTGAATTTCTTGTTTCGTCCAATCAACATTATTATTATTATTATTATTGATGTTGTTGTCGTTGTAATATGTACTATTTTTAACTAGTTATACACTATAACATGTCTTATATATGTCATTTAGTAATACTCCTACTGCTTCATAATTTTGACGTATTTCATATTATTCACCATAAGGTAACAAATAAAGTCAGTGACGTACTTCTGATTGCTGTCTTTAAAAAACCAATGAATTTGTCCATACTCAGAACAACATTGTTGCAAAACACGAAACCCACACGCTTCATGTGGTTGATAACGTTAAGTGGATTTTTCTCTTGATTTGCCGTTGCAATATTACAAAGGTGATCTGGGAAGTTATCGCTTACAATGTCATCTAATTGTAAACATATTGTTATTAGGCAGTGTATTTTATTGTTTAACAATGATTGTAAATGTGTTACATTATTTTTGTTCAGATTCGGTAAACGCTCATTGCATTGTGTTTGGACATTGATTAGTCTTTACGTATGTAGTACTATTTAATTTAAGCAGTTGTGAGAAAGTTACCATATTTAGATGCAAGTGTGCTATGTACATGTAAACTTCCGGCCCGATATACCGCGGACGGTAATGGTGTGTTATAGAAACTTGTGGTTTGTTCTGGTACCGCTAGACTAGTGATGGCCCTGTGTAGCAATTTTCGGTAGCTGGTACCTTGTACCCCCAAGTATTTAAGGGGGTAAGAGCGTGTTTTCGTGTCACTCTCACACTTTTCATCACATCAAGACAAGCTTTCGTGTGTGGACCACTCATCACCCCTGAATCCCTGCCAAGACCCGTCTCAGAACCTGACACTGTCGCCGCTGGGTGAAGATATATATTATTATTATTCATATGGGTGAAAATATATTGTTGATATTTGCGCAGTGACGGTGCAATTAGTGATTCTCGAAGCTGATTGGTCAGTTGAGCAAAGTTGTTTTTTTATTGTATAACGGGACTATTTCTTTCTCATCCCATTCATTTACACATCCACCCGATTCATTCACATGTTTTACGTGCTACAATCTCATTGATTCGATATTTAAAGACAAGTAACATAGTTTCATATCAACAACATGATTTCACATTATTTTTTATATATTTATTTCACATGATTCACATCTTACAGGAAAAAAACTACGTCTGCGTTGTTTGTAAACAAACATGGCTGACCATTTGACACCTGACATAGTAAATGACCTCGTTAAAGCGGACGGAGATCTGACTGACATGAAGAGGTATTCGTATAATTCAACCTGAATATGGACAGATTGAAGCTCCAAGATTCAGATCGCGATGTTACCAGAAACTGTCTCAGTGCGCCAAGATCAACACCACCAATTCCGGGTTTGCATCTGTGTTAGATGGCTGTTTGATGAAAACTGGACTTAGTAGTACTGTACAGACAGGTTTCCCTTTGTGAACGATGATGACATCGATAACTGCAAATAAAAATGAAAACACAATGAAAAAGACTAAACTTGATATGTTGACATAAACATAGTTCACAAATTTATACAGGACTGGTAAGGAAAACACGAAAAAAAAGACGACACACACTTTCAACGTTGGCATCGGAATAAAAACTCATTTTGCAACAACGTTTAGACTTTCCGAAAGACAATATAAAGCTCCATTATTTCGTGGAATTTTGTAACGTTGTGTGAATAAATAAGAACGTTGTGACACCTTTTTATACAATGTATACGTTTTAGTAACTTAAAATTCGACGTCAGCACAGTGTGGCACTGAGCGGTATGCCAGCTGACTGACGTCCATGGCAGGCACCATGAGAGTTAAATGACTAAACATTATTCTTTGCACATTTATCATTTTGGCATGTAAATCAGACGGTTCAGAATTCGAACTGTCTCCTGGGGTAGCATAGTGCGTTACCTTAGCGACGTGAGTACCAACATCTGCTCGCGAAATCGATGAACTTTGCTGAACTCGGAGAGGTTTAGAAATTAAAAGAAATTAAAAAATACAGGGAAAAGAAAACTAACCTCAGGGAGCTGATCCTGTGTCCTATATTGAACTTACTTAACTCCATGAATGTGGATAGCTTGGCACTAAGTCTCCGTCTATGTTGTTGTTTTGGGTTTAGGCATTTTTTCAAATGACACATGTAAAAACTTGACAGGTTTTCCGTGTTTCCTCTTCTCAGTGTGAAATACATGTCTCTGTCGATGCACGACGGCTGTCTGTCAGTGACGAGATCTTAAAACAATTTTAAGCCTTGATTAAAAAACCTGATGAACCTTTTTGGAAACTTGTCTTCTTTATCAATGCTAGGTAGTGTACGCTGTGTAAATCAAACAGACATATAACTGCAATAATGTGATCTTCTTAGTATTTTAAAAGAACTATATTGTTCACGCGTAACAACACGTTAAGTGAGTAATACGAATGGATTGAGTCGACAATGTTTTTTAACACGCGGATGGATACAAAACAGCTGATTCTCGATCGGGGACAGTTTTTCTTCCCTTGAAACGTCTTTAATATGATTATAGATAAGAAATAGAATAACCCACTCGGTACGCGTGATTACGGAAAATATGTTTTAACTTTAAATATTGATTTCACTCGTGACATATTTTCCGTAATCACTCGTACCTCGTGTGTTTTTCTATAATTATCACTGACTTTTGCTATTACCACTGTATTTTTGTATTTGATACTGACCACTGCCAACATATTATGTATTGCCATTGAATATTGTACAACCAATCTATTGTTTACTGCCATTGTAATTGTCGTTATTGCTTTGTAAACCTGGTGATTTTTTTGTAGTACAAGTATTAATTGTAAAACATTTGTTGTTTGTTTGTTGGTTGTTTTAACACGAAGTTTTTTTTACGTACAGATTTCTGGGATAGCATATGGTTTCAATTTCGGAAAGCGACACGTAACAATATCGTTTGTTTTATCTGATTAACAAGCATCGCAATGGTCCCCTGTTTGAATTGAACCATTTGTTTACCTTGAAATGCATTGTTTTGTGTGAACATAGGCCAAGATACCAGTATGAATATTAGCATATTACATGTTTAGGTTATAAAATGTACACTGTCGCATTTATATGAATATTGTAATGTTTACATAATGTTAAATTTTAAAGAATGTTTTATCTGTCAATATGGCTTTTAGGCGCGTAAAAGAAAAAGGGGGAACATATTCTGATCTGCCGGAAGAACTAGTACTGCCACTCAAACAACGTTCAACACGAGTTTGCCTGACGCCCCATTCAGCAATACTCAAGGCACATGATTGCAGCCAGTAAACAATCGAGTCTGGACAAGGCAATCTAATGACAGACCATGCTATGCTATCACCCAATTCCCCGATTAATAAAACTATTTTCGCATTATGTTGACATGTGACGTGACGCATTTCGTAAATTACTTTGAATGTCTATCATAAATTTATTGAATTGTTTAACAGTTCTTTGAGGGTGAAAAAACGATTGTAAAGTTATAAGCAAAATGTGTCTTTCCGTTACATTTGAATAGAATGATATTAACCTGAAGGTGGTGGTATATTGCTCGACATGAAGGTGAAATTCAAGATTGGAAAATCTTTAGGACATCTTGGAACAAGGGCGTCCATCATTTTGACTGTACATAGTTACATTAAATGTGATAACAGGGTACTCTGGAACAAGACATCTCTATTATGATAGAAACAACGTGCGCCATGGTTACAAACAGAAAGCTTATTAACCGTTCAATTGATGAGAACATTAATACTGATTGACTCAAACATTTATTTGAATACTTGGCCCACATCTCTATGAATAGATACACGCAACAAAACAATTGCAACAACCTAAAGAGTCCGTTGTGAGATTCCGACTACATCATAATCATGCGTTTATTATCATGAATCACAATCAATTAGTGATGATACCAGGTAGTCATGAAAAGCAGATTGCAAAGTACCATGTTTGTAGGTTTCTGATCACGTATAAACGCATCTAATCCAGTTTGATGGTCAATAGTCTGACTACCCTCCAAATATTTCGTACTATGATTCCCCCAGCACCACGCCATGTATGTAGGTACATAGATGTTTGTGAATACAAGGCTGGCGTCTAGGTAGTTAACAATGCTGAATCATGAAGATGTAGAGAATTTCACCCAGTGTCTTTTGATTTCAATTATATCAACTTAAGTTGATAAAAGTTTAAAACTCAAAGGTTTGATATCAAAAGATCCGACCTTAAGGGTGACACCCAAAATTGTTCTTTCAAATGTTTCAGTTTGTATACAGTAATAATAAGTGGCATTTTATTGTGGCGCCATGGTAACCGAGATGTAGCTTGGTCTCCTCGCTCATGCGGTGGAAGTTGAAGTTCGGTTTGGACGATAAACGTCGTCAAAAGAGACATCCGACTGGCATTTAAAATTAAAATGCACGAAATGTTGACTCAAAGGCACAGCACAGATAACTGGTATCGGATTAAGTTAATGACACATATTGATCAATCTTCTCCACAACAAACCTCCAGTACAGATGGACCAATAGTGTGATGTTGCTTTCATTCGTATGCAGTTGTATAAGGTACCATCTCCAAATGTCTTTACCAATAGAAAAGTTGTACTCTTCTGGAAAGGAATGGAAACTGCTAAACAATTTACCTATGGTATATTTTACCTTTAATGTAACCTTCTGAAAACCATGTATAAATATTATATATTGGGAGACTAGGAAGGGTGACATTTAACCCTTAGCATTATGTTAGATTGAATTGTCAGTAAAAATCAAATACTTTCTAACGATCCTTGGTGGGGGTTTTGTTTGGTGAAAGTAATCAAATCTGATCAAGTTTCAAAATAACCAACAGTTAGACAATGCCGGTGCCAATAGTCACGCGTTTGTCCTGATAGACAGCTTTCTTTTGCTAGTCAGATAATGAACACGGCCAAAACATTGATTTTGTCAATATTCGCTTCAATGTATGGCATATGTGAACAGCAAACTATACCGACAAATAATTTTGGCATGCTAACTCACGGATCTCCACCTCAGTGGAATTGATTGAATGTGTAACAGTGGTGACACTATGTACATTGGTTCAGAAAGATAATTCCAGTTATTGATATGATGTGAGCAACTCACTGTGGCACAACTGGAGATCTTGGCCGGGAGAGACGTCCAGGCATGTTAAAATGATTTATGAATATCCACAGGTGTTGAAAAAGAAGCAGGCAGCTTCTCCTTATTTGCTTTTCTTCTTATTTGGTCAATGGGCTTTGGTCTGATCTTTTCCTATTTCTTTTGGAATTTGTTTCTTGGATGTTGATTGTTTTCATATTGGTAGCGTTTGAGATGCTGATGACAATGATCCTGGATCTTGTCGAGAAACTTTTCATTTCTTATCAAGGAATTCTACATATTGTATCCAGGAGATAGCGTTTTAGAGTAGTAACTCTGGAATCATAATTTGGAGACTGTAGCTAGACAAGTTTTATTTGAGGGAGATGGAACTTACCTTTTGTGAGGCACTCATTTGTGCATTTGGCGCAAAGAAAGCTGACCACCGCCGTGCAACGGCAGATCTTGTCGCCATGCCCAATATTTGTTGATATTTTAAAACATAATATTGGTTTGGTAGATATACCTCCGCTCTGATGTTGAAGTAAATTGCTTTAAAGGTTTGGGATTGTTGGTTGTGAGAAACTGAACAGGTACATGTGTACATGTATATGTAGGTATTGTTGTGTTTATTGTTCAATTTCCGTTTCTTCTTGTGAAGCATTGGTGTTTTGGTTCAGTTACCATTTCTCATTTAGTCATGTTAGAAAACAGAAAACTATATCTCTGACAATGCCTCTACTTGATTTCAGTGTACAACGTTGACAAAGTGTTGTAATCCCAGCAGGTTTATTGATTATTGCCTCCATGCAGATTCAACTGGACGTGAACAGCAGTGAAGGCATTTAATATTTTGTACACATACATGTTCTGCCTACGTCATCGGGAAGAATTAGATATAAACCAGGGCCAAGAATCAGAAGTTTCAGGAGATAATTCTTTAGAAGGTAATTCTTCAAAAGACGAAGAAGAAGCTACAGCCGTGTATGTCTGCGCTTATTAGCTTTGGATGAACCGTATAGTTGAGAAAACACAGGTATCCCTACTCTTCACTCATAATCGAGTGTCATCATCAGGGATCCAGGGGTATTCGACTGCAAGCCATAAAGACATGAATAGCTAAGAAATTTGAAAGAAAAGGTGTTTCACCCACGACCTTTTTCTTGAGACTCCCAGATTTCAGAGGTCCGTACCTAGTGATTGGCACAGAACTGTGGGCAAAATTCAACTTAATAAAATCGGGCCAATTCTATCACCAATATAGGCAAAGAAAGGCTCACAGTCGCGTGTTGGCGCAAATGGAACACTGTTTTTCTACTTCTATTGCCCTCAACCACAACACTCCAATGGTAGACATGGAAGACATTTCCAAATTTGAGGCATCAGTGACAAAACATATATCTTGACTTCTACCATGTTTCTGTGGGTTTTTTTTCAGGTGAACAATTGCTGCGTCTTCTCATGCGTTTGACATGGGTGGTACCTGGTTTCATCATTATTAGATTTTCTGAAGACATGCTTATGCTGTAATCGGAAACGTACGATGGACTCTTGTGAAGTTCTTAGGATGATGAAATTTGTTTTGTCGCTTTAATTACCCAGTATTTCTGAAATCGCGATTGAAAAGATTAGTTGTAAGCTAAATGAAGCCTTTCTGTGAAATTTGAATAAAATGTACATTAACTAAAGAACCTTAGCAACTATAAATTGTTGCCGCCTTATGGTGATATATTGATCGACGTGTAGGGACAATTCACTGTTGGAAAATCGAATTCATCCCTCTTGGTGTAGAACTTGGTACAGATGTTGCCATCATTTGGATTTTTATTTACGTATTTACTTAGAGAGAGAGTGAAAGAGAGAGAGAGAGAGAGACAGAGAGAGGGGGTGCAGAGTGATACAGAGACATTATGATATTTTGAGCGCGCTGCTTACCTTAGCAATATGTTTCATTGGACAAAGTAATTAAATGCCTTCCAACGTTCGACGACGTTTCGCTAAACAATCACATCAGATCAAGTTAACAAATAACCGTCAGGTTGACAATGTCTGTACCAATATTCCTGGGAGGTTAATCACCTTCCACAGGTAAAAACCATTAGCAAACTATCGATTTTGTCAATATTTGCTTCAATGGCGTGTATGAGAAGCTGGCATTCTAACTCTCTGGTCTCTATCTCATTAGTGGAATCGATTGAATGAGGAACAGCGGTATTATGTCGATTATACAGAGACAAAGACTCGAAATAAATAACTTGACATGGGTTTATACTGATAAGTTGTTCTTGTCAACTATAGAATGACCAATAGGAGTGGCATTGATGTTCTACATTGCTTCACACGGACATACTGTTCTAAAAGTCAACTATACAGGGACCGAGAGGTGTGACGGTGATTTTCTACATTGGTTTACACCGACATACTGTTCTAGACAGTCAACTATACAGGGACCAAGAGGTGTGACAGTGATATCTACATTGGTTCACACCGACATACTGCTGTAGACAATCAACTATACAGGGACCAAGAGGTGTGACAGTGATATCTACATTGGTTCAAACCGACAAACTGTTGTAGACAGTCAACTATAGAGGGACCAAGAGGTGTGACAGTGATATCTACAGTGGTTCACACCGACATACTGCTGTAGACAGTCAACCATAGAGGGACCGAGAGGTGTGACAGTGATATCTACATTGGTTCACACCGACATACTGCTGTAGACAGTCAACTATACTGGGAGCGAGAGGTGTGACAGTGATATCTACATTGGTTCAAACCGACAAACTGTTGTAGACAGTCAACTATAGAGGGACCAAGAGGTGTGACAGTGATATCTACATTGGTTCACACCGACATACTGCTGTAGACAGTCAACCATAGAGGGACCGAGAGGTGTGACAGTGATATCTACATTGGTTCACACCGACATACTGCTGTAGACGGTCAACCATAGAGGGACCGAGAGGTGTGACAGTGATATCTACATTCGTTCACACCGACATACTGCTGTAGACAGTCAACTACACGGGGACCAAGAGGTGTGACAGTGATATCTACATTGGTTCACACCGACATACTGCTGTAGACAGTCAACCATAGAGGGACCGAGAGGTGTGACAGTGATATCTACATTCGTTCACACCGACCTACGTACTGCTGTAGACAGTCAACTACACGGGGACCAAGAGGTGTGACAGTGATATCTACATTGGTTCACACCGACATACTGCTGTAGACAGTCAACCATAGAGGGACCGAGAGGTGTGACAGTGATATCTACATTGGTTCACACCGACCTACGTACTGCTGTAGACAGTCAACTACACGGGGACCAAGAGGTGTGACAGTGACATCTACATTGGTTCACACCGACATACTGCTGTAAACAGTCAACTATACAGGGACCAAGAGGTGTGACAGTGACATCTACATTGGTTCCCACCGACATACTGCTGTAAACAGTCAACTATACAGGGACCAAGAGGTGTGACAGTGACATCTACATTGGTTCCCACCGACATACTGCTGTAAACAGTCAACTATACAGGGACCAAGAGGTGTGACAGTGACATCTACATTGGTTCACACCGACATACTGCTGTAAACAGTCAACTATACAGGGACCAAGAGGTGTGACAGTGACATTCTACATTGGTTCCCACCGACATACTGCTGTAGACAGTCAACTATAGAGGGAGCGAGAGGTGTGACAGTGATATCTACATTGGTTCACACCGACATACCGCTGTAGACAGTCAACTATAGAGGGACCAAGAGGTGTGACAGTGATATCTACATTGGTTTCCACCGAGATACTGTTGTAGACAGTCAACTATAGAGGGACTGAGAGGTGTGACAGTGATATTCTACATTGGTTCACACCTACATACTATTCTAGACAGTTAACTGTTCAGGGCCCTTGTGGTGTGACAGTGATAGTCAACATTGCTTCACGCCGAAATAATACTGTAGGCAGTTAACTGTACAGGAACTGATAGATATGGCAGTGGCGTTTCACACTGGCCGACTGTAGACGACCACTGCATGTGGAACAGTTATTTGTGAAATTAATATGTCCAAATAGATTTGGAGTAAAATGACAGCAAGGGTAGTATCCAGTGATGAAAAGAAACTCGCTTGGACATCCGAAAATGAGCATGAAAACATTGGAAGCTTGTGGGCTGACTTCGCGCAGAGTACAGCATTCCATGGAGTAAATAAGCTTCAGTCAAGCCGACACTCGAGTCTACGCTGGTGAGTCACCTGATTCACGATCGAACAAGTGCTTACTTATCAATCATGGTTTCCAGTCAACAGAATGTGATGTGGGACGTGTGGTCGATACACAGAGCGGGATACATGAAGCCAGTCTTGTTTATCTATTTTTATTTGACGATGTTTTCATATATTTGCAAACGTAGCTATCACGTGTACATTATGTTAATGTCGATTTAACATTCCATACTTTAATAGTTCGGGGTTAAATACTCAAGGGGCACATGGGGAGTGTGTGATTTTCCAGTAGGGTTATGTTGGTTATTCTTAAAATAGAAGGGCAATGAAGGGCCAAGTAAGGACGAGTTACGTTAGGAATGACCCAGAGCTTTGTTGAACGACTGGTTAAAGTTATGTTTCATGTGTGTATCGGTTCTTCTAGATGTTTGTAACAATGCGACTGAATGTAGACAGTTCTATTATTTTTGTACCCTCAGTTTTACTTTAGTGTAAGTAGTTGGATGTATGCTTTACCCTTTTCACTGAACTATTGATATATTTTATTCCATTGAATTGTATGGATTAGAAAATATGTCCCAAGGTTTCTGTTCAATCAATATTAATGGAGCCTCTAAATTGATAAATGTTAAAAAAAGTTTTATGTTTTGTCATCATCAGTATAACTGAAGTTTTATATCTAAATATCCAAGGTACTTGTAAGATTCTTTTGTGATTGTGGATTTGTGAGAATTTTATCACGAGATCTGGTCCTATAAATATTGCAAGGTAACTTGAATTTGACAGTAAATTTTAAAAAAATGGTCTTTTATTTTAGCATTTCAGTTGATGCCAAATAGTGACATTAGTTTCATTATCAAAATGATTTTTGCCGATTGTTGCTTTCGGTGGCATAAAAAACTTAATATAACGATTGTTTCTACGTTTTTCGATTTTGAAATTAGTTGACCCTCATACCATATATACATCTGAGTCTTTATGCTGGCATCCCGAAATAAACTATCATGCAATAATGTAAAGTGGAGTTTTAGACATTTAGGGAAACCAGTGGTTGAAACAGTGACCCGTCACGACGAAGGCAAAGTTTCCATACCCAAAATTAGAAATATGCAATAAGTAAATAATGGATGCCCTACTGAACATACATATTGCTGGAATAGTACAAACCACGGTCCACAATGCAACTCACTTCTAATTAACTCACCCTAAATTACTCACATATTTCCTTTGGCAGTATATGGTGGACCTTTGCAGTGTTGCTGATGTCTGCCTACATGTCCTATAACATAACACAAGAGCTGATGAACTACTACAGATACCCAGTGATCACCAACACGAAGGTGGAAGTCCGACAAGAGCTTCCCTTTCCAGCTATCACCTTCTGCAACCTGAGTCCTTACAACCTGACTGCTGCCAAAGAAACTGATCCTTACTTGGAGAAATATTTCAATGGGGTTAGTTTGCTCGGGGAGTTTTATGGCGCAATCAATTGGAGTGATCCAGGATACGGTTCTACTTTCTCAAAACGGCAGAGTCTGGATTGGTGGAAGAAGATATTCATGAAACCAGGCGAAATCCTCAATTTATGTGTTATGAAAAGTGCCTGGTGTGTGTCAGCTATAAAGCCGGTTGTGACCAAAATGGGACACTGCGCAACATTCAACTGGAATGCTTCTGATGTTACTAAAGTGAGAGTCACAGGCTTGGACAATAATCTCATCATATTTGCAAATATCCATCATGATAAATATGTGCTTGGTTCACAGTTGGCAGCTGGATTGAGGGTATGTATAAGCACATATGAAGCAGTTACGGTTTATTGTCGTGGGGTTGTCAATCAAATATATTTCCTTACAATAAATACTTTGAGCCTGTAAACAATGTCGTCGTTTCATATACTTTCACTTACAATCTATATTGTATTCTATTGTGGTCAAGAAATTGACAAAGATAACTCACAAATACTTATGTTTGCGTAGGTGATCCTCCACGACCCCCGTATCCACCCAGACGTTGCGACATCATCGTTTTTAGCAGCTCCGGGCACATCCACGTACGCAGCTGTGAAAAGATCTACGGTAGGCAATACACTGCTCATATTGCGATAACTGTTGCATAACATTTACACATGTAAGCACAGTTATTTTCAGTTCATATCAACTGACGTCCAAACGAAACTTTACCAGAGTTTGAAATCACTCTTGCTCAAAAACAACATAACATACATGCATGAAGTAAAGTGTATTGAGAAGATCAATATATCAACATAATCAACACTGAAAATGACAATCATACCGCGACCGAGAATGACGTCAGAGCCCCACAAAGTTGTGTGTGGTACAAAACTCGAGCTTTCAGAATCATGGACAATAGGCAGAGTACATAAACAATCGCTCACGTTCAATAACAAGTCATTAGTAGCGTGTGTGACCACCAAATGCCTCAATACACGCAAAACCTCTTCGACGCACAGAAAAAGTCAGTCGTCTGATGAGGTCACGTGGGATTTGACGCAATTCTTCTTGGAGGGCCAAGATCAGTTCTTGCCGGTTGGCTGGAGAGTGTGGTCGTTGTCGAACACGACGATCCATCAAGTCCAAGAGGTGTTCTATGGGGGACATGTCGGGTGAGCGTGCAGGCCACGGCAGGCCGTTGACGTTGTTTGCTGCGAGGAAGTAAGTGACAATTCTGGGCTGTATGGGCTCTAACGTTGTCATGCTGATAAATGACACCACGTAGCTGCTGTTGGAGAAATGGTACGACAACTGGACGAAGAATGTTATCCATGTAACGCTGAGCTGTCACGTTTCCATCAACGATGACCAGCGGTGTCCTCTCCTGCCCACAGATCCCCCCCCCCCCCCCCCCCCCCCACACACACACACACACACCATGACACTCCCTCCACCATATGGTACGACCTCCTGCACGCAACACGCCGCCGTTCGTTCACCCCTTCGGCGGTAAACACGTTGTCTTCCATCCGCCCTAAACATACAGAATCGACTTTCGTCAGTGAAGACAACCCTCTGCCAGTCACGTCGTTGCCAACGTAGTACAGTCCGGGCCCATCTCAATCGCAGACGACGATGTTGCGCTGTCAATAGCTGTCCTCTGTATGGTCTAAAAGCCCTGATTCCATGAGCCCTGAGTCTCCTGGCCACTGCCTGTCGACTAACCCTGTGACCTAAGGCATTTGTCGCCGATGACGTCACTGTCAGGAAGCGATTTTGGAGGTGCAAGGTACCATACCCAAGGCCCGTTCACGTTGTTCGACTGTGAGTCGTGGCATTTCTTTTGTGTTTTTTTTTTATCACTGTGGATGTCAGACTTGCCATTGCAATCGTTTTATACCCTTACCCGCACGAGCATTTGCAGTTGTCCGTTGTGCACGTGTTTTTCACTTTTTCGCGTGTTATCTCGCAAACATGTAACAGACGATTAACATTTTCTGCATACACTAGTGTTGTATTTAGGTTATGTGTTTTAGATAGACTTCATCGAAAAAAAATTATACTTTGTCTGAAATTTATATTTTCAGATGGTAAAGTTTCTTTTGGACGTCAGTTTATTTATATGAGTGTGTGTAAGTGAGAGCGAGAGAGAAAGAGAATGAGAGATAGAGAAAGAGAGAGAGTAAGAGAGAGAGGGAGTGCACACAAGTACTACATTTTCATTTAGTACGCAGGGAACCTTGAATTGTCATTATAATAGATGGATGGATGGATGGATGGATGGATGGATGGATGGATGGATGGATGGATAGATAGATAGATAGATAGATAGATAGATAGATAGATAAATAGATAGATAGATAGATAGATTAGTTTTCTTTTCTTTTGAACAGTTCAAATACCTACCTACACCCTACAAAGCCTTCGATAACACAACATGTGTGGACACTTTGTCTCCTACGTTCAACAACACACTGGAATATCACGACATGTACACGTATGAAACCTGTCTCCAGGAATGCTTCACTAGGATTACCTTTAACAAGTGCGGGTGTGTCAAGCCTTCGGATGATGGTGAGCACTGGACGGCGATGTCGAACATTTTAGTCTGTCTGATATTACTCGACCTTCATTTATTTGCAATGTTAAACTGAGGAGCAAAGCAACCCACACCTCTCAGTTGATTTTATCATGTTTGATTTTCAATTGAAAATATCTTAAGTAAGTGATATTATATGCAGAGAAATTGAACTCTACTGGAGCTTAATCAGCTCTCAAAGAATACTTTAACATAGTCTCATTTGTTTTAAATATTATTTGATTTTAATCTTTTAAAAATGAAAAAAAGTTCGCAACATACACAACTGATGATGGGTAGACAATCAATAATTTTTTCAACACAAATTTACAACATGTCAAACATAGTAGCGGTCATGTTGTTGCAAATACATTTCTTACGTCATTCTTCATTGAACCAATTTAGTTGTACACAAAATTACCCACCACAGATTACTTTTCACAAACTGTTGCGGGAATGAGTGATGATTAAATAAACATAATCAGATTGAAGAACACATTTTTTCAATTTTCAATTACATAGTTTCTTTTGCCCCTCAGTTTATAATAATCATGTTGACGGTGTTCATGATTTGTATAATTTACTTACAAAGGTACGTCAATTAGAAATGGCATGTTTCAACTTTAATCAGGCTGACTGTGACACATGACGTCAAGTACAGGCCAGGATTTGAATGTTAAAATTGTGTGTAATATAGTCATATAATTCATGATTCCAGGATCTGAAAGCTGTGTATTATTTAAAGAGGTTAGTTACATTTGAAAATTAGTACCAGATATTAACCACCGTTGTCTCAATGAACAGGCATGACGTTAGTCGACATCCTTGGTCCCGTCTATAGGGCATCTGCCCGGAGAGCGGAAGGTCGGAGGTTTGATCCTCAGCCGTGTCATACCAATTAGACATTAAGAGATTGTACTTGTCGTTACTTGTCTCTCATCATTAGATTGATAAAATAAGGATGAGTTGACTTGGAGTACCACATATTGATACTTTCATGCACTTTTACATGACATTGAAATGAATCTGGCTCAAATGATATAAATGCTGTAACATTAACTTCAAAGACACCCATGCTCCCCGATGCAATAAAAGTCCGATTCAAGACTTTATTTACATACCCTTGAAGTGCATTTATAGAATATAAGTCTGAAACAGACAATTTATTTTAACTGTCGTTTCAGGTACCTTTGGAAGGATATGTTCTATCTTTGAGGATTACTCTTGCTACGCTCCAACATATGGTAAGAAAACGACTAAAATCGACATCTAACAGCTCAAATTATAATACAACTTCAATTCCGCTGGCTCTCAGTTTGAGTAACGTTGCACTATGCCATTAAACATTTCATTGGAGTTTCATTTCCGTTAACATTCCTGGTATTGATATTTACATTACTGTCAAAAACTAATGTTCGGATTTGAACGTGTGGTTCTTTTCTCTCCTTTGCAGGTTCCATCTCTCAAGACCCAGATGTACATACAGAATGTGGTTGTCGAATCCCATGTACCTTTGATACATACGAGACAAAGGTGTCATCTTCTAAATATCCATCCAACGTCTCAATAAAGTACATAATTGACCTCGGTTTCGCTGGCAACGAAGCCGTTGTTAGGTGCGTACAGCCAAATCTGTATTATCTGATTAAATATAGGAAACTAGATAGGAGTGTGTCTTTTACAGACTTAAAATAGTTTTCGTGAAGGATCTGTAAACATATTAAGAACATGTATGATGTTTAACCGTGAACAGGGAGCGGAATAATATGTTATATTGTGTTGATATGTTAGTATGCGTGCATTGCGTTTTCCTTTTCATGCGAGCATTGTATTTCTAGCTGTAATTGACCCCTTTACAACACGCTTTTTTCTTGAGATATCATCATGTTACATTTCTTTGTGTTCATTCAATCAATATATTAGAACTACCTAGATGATGACATGTCATTCTTATATATTTTCAAACTTCAGGGATAACTATTTGGAAATCAGAATCTACTATGAAAACCTCATGCTCCAGGTAACTGAACAAATCCCCCAGTACACCACAGAGACCATCATAGGTAGGTGAACCCTAAGAATATTACAACATAGAAAGTGGTTACTCGGAGTTGTTGATATCAGAAAAGTAAAGATTATTTAACATTCATTTATCTGTGACATGTATTTACATTTTGAAGAACGTACATGGCTTCTATGTTCAGTGTACGCATCAAGGATACCTGTAAGATAATAAACTGGTACATGTTAGCGTTGAATTTGCTGTTCACATTGCTTTGAGCAGTATATAAGTTACAGTGCGGCTTGTCAGCTTAACAAGCGACCAGAGCCCAAAGATAACATTTACAACAACTGTGAAACAATCGAGCTTGAATATGCAGAGCAAGAATCAGTAATTGCTTGTTCCTGGAATGGCTACGGGGAGGATATTTCAATGATGCATTTGGACGCGATGGACCATTCGGCGCCCGTTCTTATGCAGTCAAGAGTGTCATACATGTAGAGCTTGGGTGTGATTGACTAATTTCGAATATACTTTATATTATACATTTAAGTAATTCCACAATGTATTCATATGTAAAGGAGGAGTTGTTTTTGTTGACAGGGAACCTGGGAGGTCAGATGGGCATCTGTCTCGGAGCCAGCATCCTGACTCTCACAGAACTCGGAGAGTTCCTCCTCCTACTCTGCTTGTTCATCTTCAAAAGAATTCAGGGTGGTGGAGAACTTAAGCGCATCAAACCCAACAAGAACTGACACACACTGATGTCCAGAATACATTTCTCTTTGGATGTTTGCGGGACCAAAGAATAACATTGTACATCAATAATGACAAACTACGCTACAAATGCCATGTGTAGTACATTTCGTCTCTAAGTTTTATATCTCCTATTGTATTAATCGAAATATATTTATTAAGTTAAATTTTAGGCTTATCGTGGAAACAAGGACACTCTCCAGAAACGAATCGCAAACGTAGATTTTTTAGTAAATTTATTGTACCTAATAAAGTCGATATATTTCATTTAATATCATAGATGCAAATATGAAATTTTGGAGCTCGGTAGTCACCTGTTGGCGCTGTAAGAAGGCATTGAAAACTGTTGATTGTCATTTAACATAAGGCCACAAGGAGGCGCTGAACTCAGTATCTCGTGTGACCGCCCCGGGCAGCAATCACGGCTCTGCATCTCCTCGGCACTGACTGGATATATGTACGAATTCTGTCCGGCGGAATTCTGCGCCATTCTGCATGTAACGCGTTGGCCAGTTGTGTCTTCGGTGTGTTCAGACGTTGACGTACACGTCATTCGAGTTCATCCCAGAGGTGTTCGATAGGGTATGCATCTGGAGATCTCGACGGCCAGGGCATGACGTAGATGTTTGCACTAGGCAGGTAGTCTAACGTGACACAAGCCGTCTGCGGTGGAGCGTTGTCCTGTTGAAGCAGCTCCCTCTGGTTGTCAATGGTTGGAAGAAGGTGAGATTCAACAATTTGATTCATGGAGCGATTTGCTGTCAAATTTCCCTGAACCACAACCAAGTCAGATCTCGTGATATAGGATATGGCCCCCAAAACCATGACACTACCGCCACCGAAATTGTTGAATTGACTTACACAATGTGCGGCAAAACGCTCATTTCGACGACGATAAACACGTTGTCTTCCATCTCGACGGTGAAGAAGAAATCGTGGTTCATTGCTAAACCACACTCGTTTCCAGTTTCTCAAATTCCAAGGTTGTAAGGTATTGCACCAACGCAAGCGTCGCTGTCTATAGATCTGTTGCAAACCAGGGACGATAACTGGTCTTCTGGTTCGGATTCCAGCCTCGCGAAGATGGTTCCTGACAGTCTGATCCGATATCCTCCTCAGACATGGGATGCGGCCTGCAGTCTCCGTAGCTGTGGCATTGCGAAGACGTAGATGGAACAGTCGAATGTAGCGATCCTGTGATGGGGTGGTAACTCTTGGTCGGCGGATTCTCGGACGGTCTCCAGTGGAATTGAACTGTGTGTATCGGTCACAAAGACGGCAAATGGGGCTGTGGTGGACGTTGAAATGCGACAGAAGAACGCGATTCCCCTCTTTAGATACGTCCTATGGCGATGTTCCGATTACCAGCGCTGAGTCTCACAATTTAATGACAAATTATTGGCTTATGCTTGCCTTTTTATAACCATTACCACGAGTTACGAATACAATAACTTGCACGTGCATTTTGCTTTACTGTTTTCCTCCATGACATTTTTTAACAAGTGTGAAAACAATGCGTTTAAGACATTGCAAATCGACAATGGCTGCGTTTTGACGCACCGGTTGACGAATGTCAGGCCACCAACAGTTTCCAATAACATATATCCAATTTATATACCGGGTATTCTGTGTAGTCAGATTCAATGACCTACATACTACCTTTGCGTTTCTTTTTTTGAAGAGTGTATAGGGAAGGTGTATATCCTGCTGTGGTACCCTGCAGAAAATAGAGGTCCCCTTGGTATCTACTGTGGTGGTCCACCTCTGGTTACTGGCGATCTGTAGCCCGCTTTTTATATTGTACTGTGAAATAATAGTTACATCTTTTTCATTTTGCTGATACAAAAAAACTAACTAAAATATGTGATAATCTCGTTATTGTAATATCATTAAATGTTATCATTGTATATTACTTGTTCCACTACATGTTATTACTTTAAAGCACTTTGTAGTTCTTCATTATCCTCTTCTTCTATTGTTTGTGTTCCAACATAAAAACGGACGTATAATGTAGTCGGAATCGTACATGGACTCTGCTTTAGTAGAGACATCCTATTGTTATGCAAAGGAGGTACTTTCTTTAACATTTTGCAGAACGAAACATGTATATGTCTTCAGTTATCATGTTCTGTCTTACAAAGTGATTTCCAACTTGAAACGCGAACGTTAACACAAGTCAATTGCCAAATCAGTACCTACCCACTCAGTATCAATAAATAAGGAAGTTTTTTATATTGAAACACAAAGTTTTTGGTTTACCATCACAAAATGTAATACAATGAGGTCAAATAAGTGGCCATATCAATAAATAACAGAGCCGACAGAATAAGTCAGTGCATTTGTCCAGAATTTGCCACAATCGAATGTCTTGATCGAAATAGACACCCGCTCCTTTCTTGAATCTGGAATAGTGTTGAAAGCTGGCAGGAAGTAGGCGTTTTCTGATCTCGTCTGCACTGGGAAAGTTGATCTGACGCAGGTCGTGGAAGGCCTCGAATAACCCTCATCGAGCTCTTATATATAGATAAAGTTTGCCTTCTTGAAAATGTTGCCTCACAAAACTTCTCGAAACACTGTAAACACCTAAGATAAAGGGAGGTAACTCTAATAAGTACCTGAAACACTAGAAACAACAAAGCTCGATATTGTGCGAGCGCCTCAATAAATTTGCTGCCTAATCAGAAAAAAACTACCAACATTGATTTTCTGCCAACCAGCATTTGTATGTGTTGGAACACCAATTAAAACAGCACCCAAATTTTAAATGTCCCCTTATCATATGATTCCATTTGTATTATATGCGTCCAGACATAAGCAAGATGTGTATCTTTTATTTGTATTCTCCTACTAAATGTAAGTTTGAATACACAACACTAAAAGTTTTGTATTTGCGACAAATCTGTTAACACGTACAGCAAATTTGATAAGTCATTACCAAACAGTTCTTTCATTGCATGACACAAGTAGAACAACAGTGAATATTGATGACATTTTAATCAACGGTATATAATATTTGCTGCACTAATTGTTCGATTAAAAGGTAACGCCCTAATATCTACTTAAACCGTTTGACAACATGATATTGTTCACCCACAGATGCAGTTTACCGTAGTCTGCCTTTCAGACCCTGATACAAATATATCAAATACAGCCCCTGCAAGTCTATAATGTTTGGCAAGTCTAGATTACTGCAGTATCTGAAAATGAAGAGAGTGTCTGGGCTCCTTTTTATTATATTTTTATTTCAGTTCAAAATATCATCGTGCAATCATCAAATATGTGGGCTCTGCTGCTGCTCTTGGATCAGTTAGAATTTCTTTGTTATGAATTGGTTGGTGTGTTACTGTGTGAATAAATCAATTCTTTCTTTGTGGTGATATTGAAATTCATATCTGATTTGATCAAGCATTACGAACGATAAGATTGAAATCCCAGATTCGCCTGATCATTTTCTAGGTTTGCCAGCATGCATCATACCCCTGCTCATGGGTTTGCAAAAGTTGAAAACGTTCAGGACATGCAACACTTCGGGGTTTGCTCACACGTCAAGGCGACACGCCGTTATAAAACTGAAATATTGTTTAAAGTGGCGATACGCCAAACTCACCACGTTCTCACTACTCTCACTGAAACGTGTGCAATGCAAAATGATGCTCTGTATGAGTTCTCGTAACTCCGTTATCCTTGTGTCATCTGTTGACGTGATTAACTTTGTATATGCAATGGCAATGTAGACATGAAAAAGATGTGAAGAATTGAAGAATAATTATGATAAGCCAAACTACCGTCACGTACAAAAGCTTCGTATACAGCTGGATGGGTAGCTGACAGACATTTGATGTCACAACAGCCGCCAATGAATGTGGACACAGACAGTTAATGTGATAACTGAAGATTAAGCAACATAAACATGCATAAAAGGGTATAGAGATTTTGATAAAAAAAATATTAACTTACCTGGGCACAAGCGGTTCCCAAGGATATGGTATTGCACAAACAACACAAACTTGATTGACTGTTTTGAGTTGTTGTAGACAGACATATAGCAAGTGGTTTTCATGCTACATGTATACGTTTGCATCCATCTACACATTACAAATTCAGATATACCACGTGTGTGAAGCAGTATGAAGCAGAGAACAGAGATGCGAAGTATGACGTGCACACACCGAAGCATATAATTCTTGAATGCCCTTTCCTCTGAAAAATGTGGCACTGAAATGACGTATTTTAAATTGTAGTAAATATTGTAATCAATTAAATGTGGTAATTCACAGTTACTTGGGATGTCTCCGAAATATATGCTTTTCAGTATACTGACAATTGTGATAAATAGGGATTACAATGTCACTTTCTCCTTTTCACAGGCTAATTAGAAATTTCAGCGCATTTCGCTAACTATTTCCAATGCCTTGTACATGTACTAGCACTGTTAATCAAGTATTTTATATATGGATTGACTGGTACAATTGATTAGTCTATGCGGAGTCGGAGAGTATACCTTTTTCGATTGTTACACGTCCATCGATCAACTGATTGCTAATGAAGGACACTAATCACATCACACATACCCGGATTATAGGAGCCGAATGGGTCGACATTAACGTATAATTATATTGACTTATATATTAACCATAAAAAAACAATCCATGAAACATCAAATTTAATTATTTAAAGCGAACTTTATCAACTATATCAACCAAATTAAACATTCCATTTGGAGTGACATCCCTTGGTTTTACAAACCTTAGAAATTTGGCTCCTAGGGAAATGTCATTCACTTGAACGAAAAGTTTCAGGTAGTGCGTTATGGTATAAATTCATACTAAATGAAGACATTAACGTTCTCATAAAGAAATTTATCTATGTTTTGGCTTTATTAACTTTATTCTTACTTACCGTATTCTACGTGTTTTGTTGGTATTCATGTGCGATGCATGTATCGATGATTAATCAACAGTTTTGTCTGTGAATTGAATATATTTAGTGTGAAGATCAACGTTTTTAACTCGATATGGAAAGCGCTGCGTAACAGATATGATGCCAGTATTGGTACAAAAATATATTAACAAAAATGGGGTTAAATTAGAAATGCAAATGAAAAAAGAAAAGTGTCAGCGGCGGAGGTTGAAAAGTACGAAATGACTTATTAATATTGTTCCTTGAGTATCCTAATATTTTACATTCTAAAGGGTACTTTCTTATGTATCTTGTACAGTAATATTGAAACGTATGAGTCTATTTACGCGAGACGTTTCTATCACAACATAAAGTGAAAACAAACGAAACTGGTAACATGCAGTATTATTAGAAAATCAATTCATGCTTGTCCACTCGTGTAAACACACCTTCAGAAACTCTGTGCATGGCGTATTGGTTATGCACATGTTCATTCGCGCAATGACTTATGTGTTTTATAACATATTGTTATAAAGGTAATACTATAGGCATTTGGACATTTTGTTTACATCTAAATACGTAAAACAAACTTTTATTTCAATAACAATATTGCGAAATACCATGTTAGAATTTCATCAGAACTTGTGAAAAAGAACCTTTCATTCATAATGATAGTTAATAGCCTTTGAGATAAGTGCAAACATGTATAACAATGCCCCTCCAGCATGGCATGAATGTTTAGACACGCTGGTGAAGGTTGGCATTAGATTGCGAACAATGCGGAATATTGGAAATACACTGGTGCCAATTAGCAACATCCGGCTGGCACAGATAATTAACTTGCAGAATATTTTTAACAATGACGATGTTGAACATTTCTGTGAAGTTATGTAAATAGCTAATCATCCCAGCTAATCAAGGAATGATATGATCTACCCTTGAGTACTATGAAAAGACAGCTGGTTGATCATGTTATCGAAGACTTGGCCAACCCAGCAATAGAGTGAAATCAAAGCGACCAAACACGTTCAATAGTCATAAGAAATATCTTTTGATAGCATGGTCCACTGTACTATTTCTACTTTATATTTACCATAAGCATGTATATGTAGATCACTGTCATACAGTATTCATACCAGGTGTTGGCGAAAACGTGAGCGTATCCTGCCCCACTGGGAAAATAGAGACGTCAATAAATCAATGGTCACCACGTTTCCTGACAAATGACCCATAGGTCGAGGAATGAAGTTTGTCGTGTTGGGTTATAGTGTACAAAGTTGAAAAATAAAATGTTTTGCCATAAATATGTAGGATTATACTCAAAGGCAATCTTTGTGTGTGTTCATTGTTGTTTGACAGAAAGGGTCAACATTCCGATTTCTCAGAAGACTCACAAATATACTTTGCACGCCGTGTAACAGGGTCTTGATAAATTATCTCCGTTGAATTGCCAACAAAAAACAAATAGTTCCCAAAGATCCTTGCTGGATGTAAAGTGTAAAGTTACGTATCAACCTTTTGTTAGACAATACCTGTGCCGGTAGTCCTGGTAATGTAGTGATCATAGGCAACTTTCTATAGTTAGTCAGCAAATGAAAACTGGCAAAACATCGATTTTGTCAATATTCATTTCGATCTACAGCATGCATGGAAAGCAAAGTATATTGATAAACCAATCTAATATGCTATGTCAAGGGTCTCCATCCCATTAGTCGAACTGATTGAACGTGTAAAAGTGATGACGCCATGTGCACTGTTTCACAAAAATAAACTGCAGTATTAAGTCTATAATACAAGGACAAATATCAGAAACAGACACCCTACATACGTTTACACATACGAATAGCTGTAGACAGTCAACTATACATGGGATTTAGAGCTGTGACGGTTATATTTTATAAATGTAAAATACCACTGCATGTGGAACAGTTATTTGTTTATCGCGATTAGATTTGGCGTAAAATGGCGGCAAGTGTACATGATGTATCTAGTGTTAAAACGAAACTCGCTTGGTCATCCGAAAATGATGATAAAAACATTGGAAACTTGTGGGATGACTTCGCACAGAGTACGGGATTCCATGGAGTTAATAAGATTATGTCAATGCGGACCTTTAAGCTACGATGGTGAGTCATTTGGTCGTGAAAACAAATTCGGGATCAAACAAGTTTTTAAATGCATGTAATAATGGTTAATCAGTTCAAAGAATGTTATGTGGTCGATAAACAGAGAAATGGGGATGTAATGATTTTATAAAAACGAGCATGGCTACATACGTAAACATTTATTCAACATACAATCTTGAAATATGGCTCAAGTGGGTAATATTGACATTGTAATTAAGGGTCGAGTTACGAAGGTACTCAAGGTGAATGTACCAGAGCTACGTTCAATTTGTTTGCAAGCTCTTTCCTCGCATGTATGAAGCAAATTCTGTTTGTCCCTCCGTACACATATTGCTGGAATGATGCTAAACTCGGTAAAGATTTCAATTCACTCCCAACTCACCCTCAGTCCCTCATTTCCTTTGGCAGCATCTGGTGGACCTTTGCAGTGTTGCTGATGTCTGCCTACATGTCCTATAACATAACGCAAGAGCTGATGAACTACTACAGATACCCAGTGATCACCAACACGAAGGTGGAAGTCCGACAAGAGCTTCCCTTTCCAGCCATCACCTTCTGCAACCAGAGTCCTTTCAACCTGACTGCGGTCAAAGAAGCTGATCCCTACTTGGAGAAATATTTCAATGGGGTCAGCCTGCTTGGGAGTTTTAATGATGCAATCAATTGGAGTGATCCAGGATACGGTACTACCTTCTCTGAGGGGCAAAGTCTGGACTGGTGGAAGAAGATACTCATGAAACCAAGCCAAATGCTCAATTTATGCATTATGAAAGGTTCCAGGTGTTTGGCAGCTTTAAAGCCGGTTGTGACCAACATGGGTCACTGCACAACATTCAATTGGAATGCTTCTGATGTTGCCAAAGTGAGAGTGACAGGCTTCGATAATAACCTCATCATATTTGCAGACATCTTCCATAATGAATATGTCATTGGTTCACAGATGGCAGCTGGGCTGAGGGTATGTACACGATAGTATGCAGCAGGGCGGTTCTGTGAAAGATATTTTCTTACGAAACGTTGTTTCATCACATTGTGTCATTTAGTTATTATAAACAGGTTATAATTACATTTGGTATCCTTTGTGTCTCCACATTTTTTAAAGAAGTTGTTCATTCATATATCTTATCTTTACTTAGCACTCGAACCTCTAAATGCCTCACATAAAGTTAAAACAAACTTACAAATGTAACTTCATGTTTGCGAAGGTGATCCTGCACGACCCCCGTATCCACCCAGACGTTGCGACATCATCGTTTGTGGCAGCTCCGGGAACATCCACGTACGCAGCCGTGAAAAGATCTACGGTAGGTAATACACTGTTGTTAATATTCTCTTAACTGTCTCAACTTTGACATGTACTACACTGTGAACGTGGAGTTGTTGGTCATTGTAACATGTCCACGGTGGATTTCCTTCCAAAATATTCCTTCTGAGATATGCATGTAGGACACGCGTTTCCCGTTGACTGTGGTTTTCAATAGCAATGACATTTCAGACCATTTGCGGGATATCCGAAAAACTCACTGTCACATATCATGATAAATCTGACAATTTAACCACATGATTCGTAACACTCTGCAAAATGTCACGTTCCCTGACGTAGACTCTCACAGGGATGTCATATTTGTGTTTGAAGATATTCAGCCAGTGTCCTTCTGCAGTATGTTCCACCAATGATAGGAGAGGTATTAAATACCTAGACATTGCCATACAAGATCTTAAATCTAGATATGACGAGTCCGATATTATAATATGCGGTGACTTGAACACAAGAACTGATCGAGCTTCTTACATAATATGTAATACCTTACAATAATGAATCCACGACTGAACTGAACGATATTAACAACGTCATCGATACCTTTTAACGTCCACGTTCATCAAGAGATTCAGAGATAAATCACACATGCAAAAAGCGTATGCACCTATCCTGTAGCTATGGAATACGGATCATGGCAGTTTACACAAAGACACCTTTGGTGTTTTCACTTCTTTTGCAATACGAGTGCTACGTACTCTACTGACTTGTTAAATTTCGTTGCAGATTTCAATGTTCAAACTCGTATTGAATCTGACTTTTCAGCTGTTTGTGAATTAATGTGTGGTTATTACAAAACTAATACAAACGAGGATGATAACATCACTACTATAAATCTATATGTGGCATGACTTCTTTTGTAAATGATAATAAGTATAATAATAAATGTGCATGGTTTGAAAAGTTCTGTGAGAGTTTCAGAACTCATTAATATGAGCATTTAGATGACTGTAGAATATCTGGTGATGTTCAGCATTTGGAACAGTTTCATAAGGCTCTAAATACGTTCAGAGAAGTGTATCGCCACGGAAAAGAGGAGTAGTGTACAGAAACAACAAACATTTCATGTTGGTTTGAAGTAATAGGGCAAAATCTTTCCAGTCTTATGTTGAATATTGTAGCAGCCCTTCAATTAATATGATGCCTTTATTGATTGTTCAACATGGATTCATTATTGACGATGACTGGGTTATGTTTACAAATGAATACACTGCAGCACATAAAAAAACAACTTTCAGCGAATGATGATGTTAAAACACTTTGAATTGGGATATAAGTTCTCTTTCCACACCGTGATCTTTAGCGCAACACACGCCCTGGCCCAGATATTATACCACCGGATATGTGAAAGCATAATAACCTTATTCACTGTCTTCAGTTGTGTACACTGTTAAATTGCATTTTAATGTACCAGAACAGTGACCCTGAAGAATTATATTCCCTTTACATTACAATGGTAACATTCATGATGTAAAAAATTATCTTGGGATTTCTCTCATGGATAATTGTGCAAAGTTATTATTTGTATTTTAAATTAGCGTTTGAAATATGTTGTAGAATTAATATATTTGCACCCAAAGTGGCAAGGTGTTTTTTTGTACGCGATATTTCACCACTGACAGTGTTATTCAAATGTATTGAGCCAAATCAAGGGTGGGGATATTTCTTCTTGTGTTTTTTTCCGCAAAGCACATGACTCAGTTTACATATATATTAATGTCTGTTTAATATTATAAAGATGAAGATCCCCAAACCAAGCAAGTTTAAATTATCAAGGTGCATTCTGAGTATTTTGAATTTTTTAGCGGGCCACGTCAATGCTTTAATTTGAGTTCCTTACTACTTGCATTCTTTGTAGGCCAGGTATACACAGAAGTGGCAAACTGTGGTGACTGCGAAACAATTATTAACCCTGCTTTTGTGGAGTTGTATGTGTTGCCATATAATGTATGCAGATGATTAATGCTTATTTGGAGACATGTAAGATTCGATAAATATGTTTTTGGTATAATTTATCGCTTTTGCTGGTCTGGCAGAATGTGTTAAAAACTATATTTATATTGATTCTTTGTCACGGCTTGTTAGATATTAGTTTCAACTGGTGGATATTCCAAAGACAGACATCTTAAACAATGTCATATTATGTTGAATAAACTAAACCTTGTTTGTCGAAAAGCATTGATGCACTGTGTTAAACATATTTAGTTCACTTATGGATTTGGCTTAGTATGGGAAGCCCAAGGAGTTGGAACCAAAAACATATATACATGCAGTTAAATGACAAGAATATCAGCATAAGGGAATGCCAAAAGCAATCAATATTTGTAGAAATTCCCAATTGTCCATCTAGAGATGTTCAGTCGGTTACAATACGCACGATATTGTATTGTAACTATGAAATCGACAGTTGCAAAGTGCAGAATAACATTGTTGAGGATTGGTGCACTACCCTGGTATAATAAAATACTGATAGACGCGATGAAGTGCAGAGGCAATTTGATTATGCACTATATGTGATCAAATGAAGTTAAATTTCACTTTCAATTTGAACGGCTAGTCTGTTATGACATACGGAAGATATATTTCTAAACTTTACATTGATAAGTAATTTGTCATAAACACTGCTTTGCTAAAATATGTCAAAATGTCTGAAACTGTCTTTATGCTTTGTACGTGGGTCCCTCGGCTTCATACGAAATGAAAGGAGAGATTAATTGATTGCAAGGTTAAGAATGTTAAAACTGATGATATTGACCTGTGTCAACGAAGAAGTTTTGAAGACGAGGAATCATTATTTGTCTGGAATGCCAGTGACTACCTGTGGAAGCCAGAGACAAAACAAGCAAGTGGGTAACGTTGACCACAACCATCATAGGATAGTATCAGTTCATCACTTGCACAATACATGTACAATATAAATGGCATTGTATTATTTTCTTTTGACCAGTTCAAATACCTACCTGCACCCTACAAATCCTTCGATAATAGGACATGTGTGGACACTTTGTCTCCGACGTTCAATAACACTCTGGAATATCACGACATCTACACGTATGAAACCTGTCTCCAGGAATGCTTTACAAGGATTACCTTTAACAAGTGCGGGTGTGTCAAGCCTTCGGATGATGGTAAGCACTGATTTCCTTCTGGCATTTGCGTGCAGTAATATAAAAAACATGATTATGGGAGTTGTTATTATGTTTTAGGTTCTTGATAAACTTCAGTAAATCAAAACAGGAAGTGGAAGTGTTCAACATCCCCTTGATAAGGCAATGTCATTCTTGATTGTGGCTCAAAACGGCATTACCTCAATTGTCCATTGCAATTAGCCACGATCCAAAATAAAAGGTTATGTGTTATTTGTTGAGGAAAGTTACAGTAGTAAAATATCAGACACACGACTTCAAGTTAGGCATTTTTAATTACCCCTGCCACAACACATAGACATGGCAAAAAGCCGTATCTGCGTTACGTATGTAATGTGAGTTGGGTTTAATGCCGTTTTAAAACGCATTTCAGTCAAAGCACTGCGCATTGAGAATTACAGGGGGGCAAATCTGGCCAAATGGTGTATTATATTAAATGAAGTACAATGTAACTGTAACTTAAAAAAACACTGATGCTCGGACATGTACATGTAGAAGCAGTAAAAGTAGTTTCAAAAACGTGTTTGTCAATACATTTTTACGATACTAACAATACAAATATGCCACTTATATCAACTGCTTTTTCAGGAACCATTGGAAAGATATGTTCTATCATTGAAGTTTACACTTGCTATGCTCCAACATATGGTAAGAACACTATTAACGTCGTCGACATCTAACAGCTCCGTTTATATTTACAACATCAATTCCGGTTTCAGTTGCTAGTTCTCTGTTTGATTAATGTTCCATTATGCTTGAAAAGTTTTATATAAATTTCATATATACATACTTGTCGGAAAATCTTTTGTTTTTCATTGATTTCTATTATTATCAAGATTGTTCGGATTTAACGGCAAAGTTGTCCGTCCTTTCTTTAACATTGCAGCTTCCATCTCCCAAAACCCAGATGTACATACTGAATGTGGTTGTCAAGTCCCATGTACCTTTGATACATACGAGACAAAGGTGTCATTTTCTAAGTATCCATCCAACGTTTTAATACAGTACATAATTGACCTCGGTTTCGGTGAGGACGAAGCCTTCATCAGGTTTGTACAATCAAGTCTGCATTATCTGATTGAATATAGGACACTAGAGGTAGGGTTGTCTTTTTCAGATCTAAAGAAAGGAAATTTCTTGTATAACGGTCAATGGGCATGTTCAGACCAATTATGAAGATGCGTCTATAAGGCTCCAGCAGAATAAAGATTGAATCGATAGTATATTAATTAGGTATCGCTACATTGCCTCAATTGGTTTAAAAACACTTTGTTCGTGTGATACGATCATGGTTGTATACGTTGCGTCCAGTCAATGGTAAGATTATAATTATCTGATGAACTGATGACGTGTCCTTTTTCAGAGATAATATTTTGGAAATCAGAATCTACTACGAAAACCTCATGCTCCAGGTAACTGAACAAAGCCCCCAATACACTACAGAGACCATCATAGGTACGTGACTTATTGCATTGAAGCATCGATGATGAAGGTAAAATAAATAAACAATAAAGTATACCCTGTCAGCCTAACGAGAGATCGAAGCCCACACAAAACGTTCACCACATTTGTGAAACAATCGATCGCAGATATGGTGGCCATGGTTAAAAAAATCATTGAACCCAACCCTGACATGGCTGTGGAATTGACATCACAATAATGCATTTGGGCGTTATGGACCATTGGGCTTCACATCGTTCTTGATGTAATTTACTGATTTCAAGTGTAGTATATATTAAACATATAATTCCTCATATCCACAATTAATTCATCTGAAAAATGAGGGGTTGGTCTTGTTGCCAGGTAACCTGGGAGGTCAAATGGGCATCTGTCTGGGAGCCAGCATCCTGACAATCACGGAGCTGGGAGAGTTCGTCCTTACACTCTGCATGTCCATCTTCAAGAAACTTCGGAGTGGTGGAAAACGTAAGCGCATCAAACCCACCAAGAACTGAAACAGCCTGATGTCAAGAAGACATCTTTCTATGGAACCAAAGAATAACACGATCCATCAATAATGATGAACTGCACTATTAAATGTCATCTATAGTCAAGTTTGATATCTTCTTTGTGTTAAGAGATAAACACAAGCGTATTATACAGTGGGAATCATACAGTGCACCAGAGGGTTTGTATGCCATGAGCTAACATCAGTGCCTATTGATGACTTGGTAATGAATGGTATACAATTTACATGCAAACATCGGATTGATTAAAAGCAAACTTTATTATGCCCACACAAACCGTATGACTCAATTCAAAGTCAACATGACACGTGCGTATTGTTTACCATCATATACAGTTTACTGATTCAATCAAATAACCGATTTGGCGGCACTTCAACTGCTGTTGGATAAAGTAGATTTTATTTTTAGTGAATTGTCGGGTGTGTAACTGTGTGAAAGTCACTCTTTGTGGGGATGTTGTAAATCCTAATTGACTTGATCAGCCGTTACCTATAAAAGACTTTAATGGGTTTTAATAGGCCGCCTGCTCGTCTTTCTCTGTTCGGCACTCATGCTCGTGTGTTTCCACAAGGTATTAAACATTTTAGACAAGCATCATTCGAGCTTTCCTCCCATATCACCGTGATATAAATACAATAACGTTCACTCACTACTACCGATGAAACGTATGAAACCTCAGTATGAGTTTGCGTCACTCCGATGCCATGTTGCCCCCTTGTGACGTGATTAACTTTACATGCATGTTTGTAATGACAAAGAAGAGTTGATGAACAACTTACGTATGACAAGGTAGGTGGAAATACCAACGCATACGAAATCTCGGTATACAGCTGCAATATTTACAACTAATACAAAACAACGCTGAATACGCGTTCTCCAACATGTTTCATTCCTAAAATCGAGGAGAATGAAGTTTCGATGTTATATTTATGTACTATTTAATGAAGGATTGAATTTAAAAATAAATTATCGTTCTTTTAGACATCTTGTCAGTTTGTCTGTTGTAGACATTTTATAAAAAGGAAGCAATATAAATGTTCCCGGCACACGTAGTTCTCTGTGTTGTATTTGATGTTTGTGCACTCGGATTCGAGTTTCCCTTTGCCCAAGAACATGTTTCAGTGAATCTGTATCACATTGTGATGATACCAGGGGTTCATGAAAATGTGTCCTGTGCCACCGGTGGCACTTGAAACAAGGACTTGAACGGAAAGTAACATGTTCACCAAAAACAAACAGAAACCATTCGAGGATGTTGATCATGATATCCTTCCAAAATCGGGGGCAAAGGTGGCCCCGTCGTCTAAGGCGCCGCTATTCGCTGTGCAGCGTGGGTTCGAATCCCGGTTCGCCCCGATTATGTTTCTAGGTTTGTAAGCACCGTGCTCGTGGGTTTCACCGCAGTGGTTAACGTCTGAGACCTGCATCACTTCGGGCTTTCTCCCACATTAAGCTCTCCTACTGTTCAAAGCGGCGTTAAACCCAACTCACTCACTCCTTCAAATATCAAATATTTGCCATGAGGAGTTCTAGTGTAAATAAATCCACAATAATTGTAACGGGTTGCAGGAGGGAACATGATTTAGGTCCCCTCCCAACGGAAATTTTTAAAGAGTTTATGTTTGAAATAGATTTATTAAAAAAGTAAACTCTCACAAATAATAAGAGTCTTGTAAAAAATCTACAAGACGCTTATTAATTTACAGTCAATCATTCTTTTTAAGTTAGGCTCTTAATTTATGTAAAGTCTAGATTGTATCTAATTAATCTACTTATACTTATGCGCAAAGGCATACGAACTATTACTGTAGCGTAATTATCATTAAGAAAAACCTGACCTGTAATAAACGTTTTTGGAATCCATTCTTAGCGCGGGAACCAACAAACAGGAGGCCATGTTTGACAACAGACTTTCCGTACTGAGCCAATCAACTATACAAATATGAAGTCATGCTCGACAGCAGTCTTTCCACTTTGAGCTCGGAAACTATTCAAACATGAGGCCATGCTTGACAGCAGTCTGTCCATGTTGAGCATGGCAACAATTCAAATATGAGGTCATGCTTGACAGCAGTCTTTCCATAATAAGCTCGGAAAGTATTCAAATAAGAGGCCATGTTTGACAGCAGTCTTTACATGTTGAGCCCGGCAACTGACCGGTAATAAACTTTTTGGGAATCAATTCTTAGCGCGGGAACCAACAAACATGAGGCCATGTTTGACAACAGACTTCCGTACTGAGCCCATCAACTATACAAATATGAAGTCATGCTCGACAGCAGTCTTTCCACTTTGAGCTCGGAAACTATTCAAACATGAGGCCATGCTTGACAGCAATCTTTACATGCTGAGCCCGGCAACTATTCAAACATGAGGCCATGCTTGACAGCAGTTTGTCCATGCTGAGCATGGCAACTATTCAAATATGAGGCCATGCTTGACGGCAGTCTTTCCATATGAAGCTCGATAAGTATTCAAATAAGAGGCCATGCTTGACAATAGTCTTTACATGCTGAGCCCGGCAACTATTCAAATATGAGGCCATGCTTGACAGCAGTCTGTCCATGCTGAGCCCGGCAACTATTCAAATAAGAGGCTATGCTTGACGACAGTCTTTCCAAAATAAGCTCTGAAAGTATTCAAATAAGAGGCCATGCTTGATAGCAGTCTTTACATGCTTAGCCCGGCAACTATTTAAATATGAGGCCATGCTTGACAGCAGTCTTTACATACTGAGCGTGGCAACTATATATCTATGAGGCCATGCTTGACAGCAGTCTGTCCATAATAAGCTCGAAAACTATTCAAATATGAGGCCATGCTTGACAGCAGTCTTTACATGCTGAGCCGGCAACTATTCAAATATGAGGCCATGCTTGACAGCAGTCTGTCCATGCTGAGCATGGCAACAATTCAAATATGAGGTCCTGCTTGACAGCAGTCTTTCCATAATAAGCTCGGAAAGTATTCAAATAAGAGGCCATGTTTGACAGCAGTCTTAACATGTTGAGCCAGACAACTATTTAAATATGAGGCCATGCTTGACAGCAGTATTTCCATAATAAGCTCGGAAACTATTAAAATATGAGGCCATGCTTGACAGCAATTTGTCCATAATAAGCTCGGAAAGTATTCAAATATGAGGCCATGCTTGACAGCAGTCTGTCCATAATAATCTCGGAAACTATTCAAATATGACGCCACGTTTGACAGCAGTCTTTCCATAATAATCTCGGAAAGTATTCAAATATGAGGCCTTGCTTGACAGCAGTCTGTCCATGATGAGCACGGCAACGATATAAATATGAGGCCATGCTTTACAGCAGTCTTTCCATAATAAGCTCGGAAACTATTTAAATATGAGGCCATGCTTGACAGCAGTCTGTTAGTGCTGATCATGGCAACTATTCAAATATCAGGCCTTGCTTGACAGCAGTCTGTCCATGATGAGCACGGCAACGATATAAATATGAGGCCATGCTTTACAGCAGTCTTTCCATAATAAGCTCGGAAACTATTCAAATATGAGGCCATGCTTGACAGCAGTCTTTCCATAATAATCTCGGAAACTATTAAAATATTAGGCCATGCTTGACAGCAGTCTGTCCATGCTGAGCTCGACATCTTCATTATGGAATAAACGAACAGCGAGGATTTACGGATTGTCTGCGTGGTGTGAATTTATAAGGAGAGACATAATCTAGATTTGCATCAATCTGCGGAAAGACATTGTCGCGGTCATCGGATTCGGCATATGTTGCCAGAAGGAAAATACAGATAAAGTGGTACCAGTTGTTGTCATATCAGGGTGTGACAAATATAATCTCATATAACACATGATATATTGTATATATTACAAGCTCGGAGAGTAACCCTCCAGATGAAGACAGGGGCCCATAAGTCGGATGGGACGTTTGTAGTAGATACCTCCTTCGCATAGGTATCGAACACAAACGGCGCACAGCAGTTGGTTATATCCCATTAGTTAGACGTCCCATTAGTTAGACGTCCCAATTGTTAGACATTTTTATTTAGGCAAAGAGGGAGTATACCTACAGGTGTAATGGATCAGTCCTAATTAGATTAAAGTTCTGAGTAGGGATAGGGGACTCACAGTTTAGGGAGTATATATGTTACAATTTCATTAATTAACCTTACTCTCAGCACAGGTTCAATAGGCATGTGATTAACTATGTAAACTATGGAGTAGCTTAATTGTCTTACTGTATGATCAGTTGAAGGAGTCGAGTTTAGATTATCTACTCATTCGGCGTGGAAGTGAGCAGTTGATATTAGATGAATATATTTACAACAGAAACCGCGAGAGGCAAACCTGCACACATTGGAGATGTGTCGTCAAGACGTGCAATGGGAAATGTACGACTGGCGGTGACTTTCTTCACAGTCAGTCGGAACATAACCATCCGCCTGAAGATGAAACCAGAGTGAACTTTGTCAGCAATCTTCCTAAAAGAGCGCGAGAAGAAACCACACAGACGCAGGCATAAAATGTAAAGTGTCATTAAATGTTAAGTATACTATTAAAGTATCTTTTTAAAGCTGCTTTGCTTTGTTTTTCAGATCTTATCTGGACTATTCCATTTTAAAGTCTGAGGTAACAAGCAAAAGGATTAGTGTGCACTCAACCGTTTAAAGTGTTGTTTATAAGCTGTCTAACTATTGGGACGTCTAACTAATGGGAGGACACCCAGCAGTTACATGGACACGTCATGTCTGGGTAGAGGAACAAAACCCCTGTCAACAACTTTATTTTTAAGAACGAGAGAGCATAACTGCCTTTTGGGGCCACTAGAAACGACATTGTTTTAAGTTTGATTTTTTTTTGTGAATAATGGTAAGAAATGTACTCGTATGAGGCATGTTCTGATGTATCTAGCCCTTTTTCGTTCTTACACTTGCAAGTTTAGGACCTTGATCAACAAAGGTTAGGCGTGGCTACAATGAGTAAAATAGGACGGTCTGTAAAATGTGAGCGAGTTACGTGTGTTGCTACAGAGCTCTGTATATATATTCTCTAACTGAAAGAGATACCAAAAGTGCAGCGTCAGGTTTCAAATATTGATTCATGACGTCACATCACTTAATTGCTGTCAACTAAGTGTATTGCAACACACACTGTGGATAGTGTAGAAACAGCAACTCTGCAATTTATAACCTATAATTGCTAAGATAAATATTTCAAAATACCTCCCCCCAAGGATTGCGACAGAGGTACTTTGTCTACCATTGTCTCCAACAACAATGAAGCTGTCATTTCAATCAGAGGTGGATATATGTTGTGATTTTTAAACATCTGATTTACAAGTCATAATCGATTATTGCCACAATTCATGGTAGAATTGATGTTATCTTCTTCATAATCATTTGTCATCAATGATTTGCATGTTTAGCGTCATTGTATGCTTAGTTGTGGGTGGAAACAGACATGCAAATGTAAAGCTTTACGTCACCTTATCTTGAGACATTAAAGTCCCACTCATAACTATCAGACAAACATACGCTCGAACAGGCAAGCTGCATCAACTGATCAAGGCTCCTGTATTTATGTGTTTTACCGTTGAAACATATTGGTCATACAATCAAACAGAAATAACAAATTCCAATACGGTTCGGTAAAACGTTTTGGCTTTGTCTTGATGCAATTTTTTAAAAACATATTTCAGTGTCGATGAATTACCGAGTTTATATAATTAAGCTGAATCCCCTTTACAAAATGTACTCACGGAACTGTGGCAAGTTACCTTCTCCAAGTTCCCGAGGAGTGCATCGTTTATCCATCAGCTATAATGAAATTAAAGCATGAACATAATGACACCAAAATTAGAATATGGATAGCTTCAGTTTTCTTAAATTAGTCTAGATACTATTTATAGGGTACTCCCTTATGCGTTAATTACATGTGCGTAATAACACTAATAGCACGTGTTTGTTTACGCTGGACGTTTGTATATATATACCATCGTTAAGTTACAAAATTGAAAACGACAACATGCTAAAAAGTCAATTTCAATTCCAATAAGATTTCGAAATACCATATTTAGTGTTTCATCAGAACTTGCACAAAAGTCCCTCCAATCCCGAATGAGAATCGGTAGCCTTTGAGGCGAGTGTAAACACAATGCACTCTGCCACACCAGCACCATGCATTGCATGAGTGTTTATAGAGATTACAAATTGGTGAAATTAGTTCCAATTAGCGACACGCGACTGGCGTTAACAATTACTTTGCAGATTATGTTCACTCAGAGGCAAAAGCACACTGTAATCATATGTATTTATCTCCTATTATTGTGTACACATGAAATCGATGACTTTGCCAATCCAGCAATGAAATGACATATTAAAGAAACGACAAATCCCGTTCCTCAGAGTTCATAATACGATTTGGTCTACAGCATAAGCCTACGTACGTGTATGTGAATCACTGTCACATGGTGATGATACCATGTGTTCGCGAAAAAACGGTGAGCGTATATTCTGACGCACACACACACACACGCACACACACGCACGCACACACACACACGCACGCACACGCACGCACACACACACACGCAAGCACACACACACACACACGCACGCACGCATACGCACGCACACACGCACGCACACACGCACACACACGCACACACACACACACACGCACGCACACACACACACACGCACGCACGCACACACACGCACGGACACACACGCACGCACACACACACACGCACGCACGCACACGCACACACGCACGCACGCACGCACGCACACACACGCACGCACACGCACGCACGCACGCACACACACGCACGCACGCACGCACGCACGCACACACACCCTCCCCCTTGTATCGGAGTTTATGGCAGACACAAGCAGTGGAATTGAACGGGATGGTAGACGTACAGGAAAATGAAATTGGACATGTAGATAAATGTTTGCCGAAGTCGTTTGATTTCTTTCAGCGACACATATTATAGTGTTTTTCTTGCTTTTGTGCTGTCCAAAGAGTTCCCGAAGAGAGGCAACAAATCTTCCAAATCAGATACCTGTAGGTCTTCATTCTTTCTTGTGACCATGGCTCCTGTCGAATCCAATGATTTTCTCTGATTATCTACAACGACGACTGCATTAAAGGCTATTAGGTTGAGAGTGTAGTTGTTCTAGGAACCTTCATGCAAATGATTGTGCAGAATTAAATTGTGGGTGGACACAAAAGGAAACATTTCAGTCGATGCCTAATCTGTGCTGGTTGACTCTTGTAGTTAATTCCTGTTGTGTCTCACCTACAAACACCAATCTACAACAAAGGGCACATTAACTGTCACAGATGACGTTTTTTTAAAGTTCATTGTTTACTGACTGAGTATGATTTTTCGCCGCTTTTAGCAATATTCTTGCAGTATCACGGCGGGGGACACAAGTAATGGGCTTCACATATTGAACCAAAGTTGAGAATCGAAACCGGGTCTTCGGCGTGACGAGCGAACCTCTTAAATACTATGCTACCCCGCCGCCCCTTTTATTGAATAACGATCTCTAAGCCCATTGCAACGCAGGTACATCCTCTATCCCAGTGGATAATAGTCATAATGCAATGCGCAGTGTATGTGTGGAAATTACACAGCGTTTCCGTGTAATGGTATAGAGAGGGTGACATACGGTACTATCTAACGCTACACAAGTTAGCCTTTGATTGAATAGCGAGCACAAAAGCAAACGTGACAATGCCGGTGTAAGTGGTCCTGATAGGTTTGTCATCATTGTGATTTTGTCAATATTCGCGTCAATGTATGGCATGTATGAAAAGCAAAATACACAGAAAAAAACATTCAGACAACTCACGGGTCTCAGTCCCATTAGTGTGGTATTGACTGAATGTTTAACAGAGGTGATACTATGCGCATCGGCTCAAAAAGATAAACGACTGAGTTGATTATACAGTGATAAGGATCAGAAACAGAGACAATCTACATGGGTCAGCTATACATGGACATAATGTATGATATTATTCATTCGTTTACAGTCGTATAATGCTGTAGGCAGTCAGCTACACAGGGGCTGACAGTGTGACAGTGATATTGTCCACTGCCCAAGTGTACAAGACCCTTGCATGTGGAACAGTTATTTGGTAATTCAAGTTAGGTTTCGAATGACATGGCAGCAATTGCACATGTAGTATCCAGTGACGAAACCAAATCAACTTTGTCATCCGGGAACGAGGATGAAAACATTGGGAGCTTGTGGGATAATTTTGCACAGAGTACGGGATTCCACGGAGTAAATAAGCTTGTGTCGAGGAGGAATATTAGGCTACGATGGTGAGCCACTTGGTCGCTATGACAAATTCAGGATTAAACAAGTGTTTGTTTGCCTATGTTTTACCAGATTGTGATGTGGGACGTGTGGTCGATCAAAATAGGCAGGGAGACATGCAACCTCCGATGTTTAGCTTTTTCTTTTTTAATCTGACCAGATATGTCTTTGCTATGGCAGTATCTACGTGCGCATATGTTAATGCCTAGTACCGATTTCATATTTCTTGTTCTTCAGATTCGGGATGTTATGATTTTATAATCAGGAGCATGGCTACATACGTAAACATTTATTCAACATACAATCTTGAAATATGGCTCATGTTGGTAATAGGGACATAGTAATTAAGGGTCGAGTAAAGGTAATCAAGGTGAATGTACCAGAGTTAGGTTGCACTTCGAGTTCAACTTATCTGCAAGCTCTTTCCTCGCTCGATATGAGTAGATGTATCAAGCCAATTCTGTTTGTCCCTCAGTACACATATTGCTGGAATAATGCTATACTAGGTCAAGATTTCAATTCACTCCCAACTCACCCTTAGTCCCTCATTTCCTTTGGCAGTATCTGGTGGACCTTTGCAGTGTTGCTGATGTCTGCCTACATGTCCTATAACATAACACAAGAGCTGATGAGCTACTACAGATACCCAGTTATCACCAATACGAAGGTGGAAGTCCGAGAGGAGCTTCCCTTTCCAGCCATCACCTTCTGCAACCAGAGTCCTTTCAACCTGACTGCGGTCAAAGAAGCTGATCCCTACTTGGAGAAATATTTCAATGGGGTCAGCTTGCTTGGGAGTTTTAATGGTGCAATCAATTGGAGTGATCCAGGATACGGTTCTACCTTCTCTGAGGGGCAAAGTCTGGACTGGTGGAAGAAGATACTCATGAAACCAAGCCAAATGCTCAATTTATGCATTATGAAAGGTTCCTGGTGTTTGGCAGCTTTAAAGCCGGTTGTGACCAACATCGGTCACTGCACAACATTCAATTGGAATGCTTCTGATGTTGCCAAAGTGAGAGTGACAGGCTTCGATAATAACCTCATCATATTTGCAAACATCCATCATGATATATATGTGCTTGGTTCACAGATGGCAGCTGGACTGAGGGTATGTACACGATGGTATGCAGCACAGAGGGTCCACTGTTATTTCTTTGGGATGTCAATCAAAGATATGGGCACGTGGGAAATTAACTATTCGCCTGAAAATAATGTCATCGTGTCATGAAGTTTGTTTGTTGGTCGGTTGGTTAACGTTGCACTCGGCATTATTGCTGCCATATAACGGCGGTCTGTAAGTAATCACGTCTGTACCAGACAATCCAGTGATTGATATCATGATCACCGATCCACGCAATTAGGATACGATGAGATGCATCAACCAAGGCAGTGAGCCTGACCACCCAATCCCGTCAGTCGGCTCTTACGGCAGGCATGGGTTGCTGAAGACCTATTCCGACACGGCTCTTTTGGGGCCTGGCGTGAAGTGCTCACATTCATGTTCTTTTGAGATTGTTGCTTTTTGTGATATAGGTTTGTCGTTTATTTTTTTTCATGTATGCCTAGGTGATCCTGCACGACCCCCGCATCCACCCAGACGTTGCGACATCTTCGTTTTTGGCAGCTCCGGGTACATCTACGTACGCAGCCGTGAAAAGATCTACGGTTAGTAATACAAAGTGTTAGTATTCCCGTAACTGGTGCATCACTCTGATTCGATTTGATTGTCAACGTGTACTGACTGAATGTACATTTCTATTGAGTTCAATACTGTTTGTAGTTATATGCATTTACATTTTGTACTAAATGCAAGACGGCACCCAAGTTGAAACATTTACATAAACTACGCCTGGAATTGTTGGACATAGTAGAACTTCTCAGTGAGTTAAATATATAAGACCGTTTGGCCAAGATGCATTTCATTGACGAAAACCATTCGTGAAAAGAACGTGCAGCTCGTCTGTTTTAATCCAAGCTTCTTGTACATCTGAACACATCTGAACACCTCATCACCATGTACAACTTTGCTACGACGAAACCAATCTTATTGGCATTTGACCCTTAAAGTACAGACGACTAATTTCTTTCGTAAATGCCAGTAATTTCCAAATTGAAAAATAACGAAATGGGTAACGTTCACCACAATGAACAGAATAGAAGATTACCAGACATCACATTAGCAACAAATGCATATCATGAGTGGCACTGTTCCGGTTATTTATTTTTTATTATTGGCATTCCTTTTCTTTTGACCAGTTCAAATACCTACCTGCACCCTATACATCCTTCGAGAATAAGACATGTGTGGACACTTTGTCTCCGACGTTCAATAACACTCTGGAATATCACGACATCTACACGTATGAAACCTGTCTCCAGGAATGCTTTACAAGGATTACTTTTAACAAGTGCGGATGTGTCAAGCCTTCGTATGATGGTGAGCGCTAACGGGCGAGTACTCATATTTTACCATTATTAACATTATCCTTCCAATATCATGTTGCAATAACATGACACACATGTTGACCGAGTTCATGTTTTTATTCAGATTCTTGATAAACATCTTTCATTCAAACTGAAGCAAACGACGTCTTCGACAATTATCGGGCTTTTTACTCTGATCATAGTACGTGCTATCAACAGGCGATGAATGGAATACTTAATACTGGCTTGATGTAGCAATTCCCTCATTCGCCCATCTAGCCTCGATCCGAATTGGAGGCTGTGGTTGGTTGGTTGGCTTGTTGTTGAACACCGCACTCAGCAATATACCAGCTATATGACGGCGGTCTGCAAATAATCGAATTTGGACCAGACAATCCAGTGATTAATATCATGAACATCGAGCCACGCATCGATGTCATGCATCACCCAAGTCAGTGAGTCTGACCACCCGATCCCGTTAGTCGCCTCTTACGACAAGCATGGTGGCCTCTTACGACAAGCATAGTCGCCTTTTACGACAAGCATGGGTTTCTGAAGACCTGTTCTACCCCGGATCCTCACGGGTCCTGGCGGCTGTGTGTTATTTATTCTGACATGAAGAATGATTAATGTTTGATTTTGTTATCAGTGAGGTAAAAACGAATATTGAGAGATCTCTAAATTAAGCCTTTTGAAATAAAAACAATGAGTATTAATACATTGATAGTCCTCATATCAATAAATATAAAAATGGCTGCCCATAACCTTTCTAAAGTGGTAACGTTTGAAATTGTAATATTTTGGGATGGTTTGGCGACGATTGTGACGCCCTGGACCTTATCTCTGACTGGTTTGATTAATAAGACAAAGGCATCTCGTTTGCATACAAATGATAACGTTCATTTTAGGTACATCTTCGTGTAAAAGCATTAAAACGTTATACGTGACAACATATTATTAACAAATCACCGCTATCATCGTCAATTCAACATGATAAAGAGCCAAGAATATAATTGATGCGAACAATGTCTTCGAGGTGATGCTTCGTAAAAAATAAAAAATAAATTGTGCATGGACGCAGCGAGTCACGGTGAGCCTTTTTCGGATTCTTTGGTTGAAATTTTATTTAGAAAGAATAAATCAGTAGAACATCCAGTTGGATGTAAGGATTTGGAAGGCGGGAAGTTGACGTCAAGTTGACCTCTCCCGCAATACGATCTGTGTCGAAAAAACACCTCTTCAACATGATTTAAACCACACGAAACCAAAAATATATGCAATTAGTACAATGCCTGTCCTGCTCCTTCATTTAATTACATTTAAGCAAAACATGCACGAACTTCTATGACAGGGCTCGTCTTCAGATACGGCTGTATTTAAACATTATTTCAGGTTGGCCCCCAGGCTCCATTGGCGTGGTGACGAGAAAGTCAGGCTCAGCCGCGTGTAATTTCGGATTGGAGAGGAATCAATTTAGAACTTGTACAAGGAGTTACCAACCGATACAAAAATACACATTCAAAATAACTAAACTGTTTTTGAAAACGCGTTTTGAAGAAATAATTTAGTTCAGAGTTATATATTACTATTTCTATAACCCCACAATAGGAAATGCCATGTTCATTTCCATTTCCAAGAAACGACTTGGGTTAAGTCCATGCTATGAAAAACAAGATGCAATGAAATTAAAACATCTATCTTTTATTTGACATCTTTTAAAGTATAATAATATAAGTATCTCATTTTGAATTAATTTTGGCTAATATTTGATACTTTTGTCACCCCTTTTTGGAATTTAAAAAGGTGTTCCCAGGGGTTATTACATTTAAGGGGAAAACCTACTGTGTTTTAAAAAATGAGGTCGTCTACCTGTAGATTAGCTCTCGGTTCCAGGTTAAAGTAGTATGCATCGAATCTTCAGTTAGACGACCACAAATTTCAAACAAAGTAGGTTTATCTGCTTATTGATGCCCGTTACCGTCGTAAAATATCATCAAATATTATCTGCCGTTGTTTCAACTGAGAGTCACCACATAATATCTGTGTTTTACATTTTAGAAGTCATCCAAAATGCCGTGTATTAAGATGTACTTTTTACATGACATTAAGGTGAATCTGTTTTAACTGTAGTCCCTTTTTGCGAACACCTGGTGTCATCACTGATTTTCAGTGATCCATTCTCCATTCATACAACAGTTTACTTTTTACTCCCAATGGAATCTGTTTCGACAGAAAATCGACTGATTATTTTCTGGCGTTGACCTTTTATATGTGTGTAAATGTATGTACATTATATGTGTGAAAATGTGTAGAGTATCATTAAAACAATTGACCCTTTAATGCTGTTTTCAGGAACCATGGGAAAGATATGCTCTATTATTGAAGCTAACACTTGTTATGAGCCAACATTTGGTAAGAACGCTATTAATATCGACATCCAACGGCGTTAGTTTCAATTACTACATTAATTCTGATTCCTGTTGCTGGTTCTCACTGCCTTAGTAATTATATAAAGTTCCATGCTCCCGTGAACATTTTAATAAATATTTCTTATCACCAGTTTCTTTTCTGTTAACATTTGTGGTTTTAAAGCTTAAGCTGTCTATGTGTATAATCTAATGTAAAGGATCTTAGGCTTAAACAGTAACGGTGTGGTTCCTTTTCCTTGAAGGTTCCATCTCGCAAGACCCAGATGTACATACAGAATGTGGTTGTCGAATCCCATGTACCTTTGATACATACGAGACAAAGGTGTCATCTTCTAAATTTCCATCCAACGTCTCAATACAGTACATAATTGACCTCGGTGTCCCCGTGGACGAAGCCTTCATGAGGTTTGTATAACGACGTCGTCCTTATCTGAGTAAATATAGGTAACTATCAGTAACTATCTTTCTCAGACTTAAATTAGTTCTAAAGGAGATTTATAACAAAATTGAGAATGTGTATAAATTTTGAACTTTGAAATCAAATAGCGAAATAAAGATTAAATAATTTTATGTTGATGGGTAAGAATTTGTGCAATGCATATTCTCATCTCGAGAATGTATTTCTAGCTATGATGCATGCATTGCATTACTACAAATTTTGTTCTTGGTTATACATGTCGTGTTCATTCAATCATTAGGTTTTAATTTACCGACAACGCGTCACTAGTGCCCATTTTCCAACTTCAGAGACAACTATTTGGAAATCAGAATCTACTATGAAAACCTCATGCTCCAGGTAACTGAACAAATCCCCCAGTACACTACAGAGACCATGACAGGTACGTGATCACCCAGGCATAGAAAGTTAGAGCTACTGGTATTAGCAAAGTAAAATTGATTTAATGTTTTCTTTGCCATTTTGTTACATTTTATTTGCAATTTTGAAATCTCCTGTTCAGATACACATAAAATTATGTACTTGTTGAAATATGTTGTACAAAATTCAATTATAAAGTATATTAAGTAACTGGTAGTAATAGAATTGGTACTATGCTGTACATGTTATGTGCAATTGTAAGTTGGAGTTCACGACGATCATAAACTGCTTGAACTCACGACAAAAAGATGGCTAGGGGATGGCCATCTCCAAAATGGATTGTGACCACTCGACCATTGTACCACCCGTCCTTGTGCAGTCACCAGAGCAATACATATTGAGCCTGATGTTGATTTTGATACTGATTGGGTGATATCAAGTATACTTTATATCAAACATTTAATTTAATTAATTCCACACTCTAGTCATATGTAAAGGAAGAGTTGGTTCTTTTGGCAGGAAACCTGGGAGGTCAGATGGGCATCTGTCTCGGAGCCAGCATCCTGACTCTCACAGAACTCGGAGAGTTCCTCCTCCTGCTCTGCTTGTTTATCTTCAAAAGAATTAAGACCGGTGGAGAACTAAAGCGCATCAAACCTAACAAGAACTGACACAGACTGATGTCGAGAATATAATATATCATTTATAGTTAAGATCTATATTTTCTTTTCCTTCTTGTGAAAATTTAGCAAAATCACATGATTCCGATATGGTCGAAATACAATGGACTCTGATTGAACAGACTTTTCTTAAGATTAAACTGTTTGTTGTTCTTTTTTTGCGCGCATTTGGGATCAATGACACACATATCAACCAAGTCAGCGAGCCTGACCACCCGATCCCGTTAGTCGCCTTTTACGACAAGCATGAGTTACATATATCGCTTATTAAAACTAAATTTAAGGCCACAGGGGAAGGACACTCATTCAATTTGTTGACAGCAATAAAGATTTGGGCCGAATTGTATCATTGAATATTAACATTTGTTCAAGCACGACAACTGTGAGGAAACATGGGTCAACGAACATGACAATTACTCTGCCATTATGATATTATATCACATCAAACTGGTAAAGATCCGGGATAGAATAGGTCTGCAGCAACCCACCCTTGCCGTAACAGGCGACTATGCTTGTCGTAAAAGGCGACTAACGGCATCGGGTGGTCAGACTCGTTGAATTGGTTGGTGCATGTCATCGTATCCCAATTGCATGTAAGGTCCAGACACGATTATTTACAAACCGCCGCCATATAGATCAGTATGGCGTTAAACAACAACAACATCAGACTGCCTTAAAATGTCCAAAGCTAATAGGGCACCAGGTCCTGCTAGTTTCTAGGACTGCTTTTGTATGTTGTTTCCCTGTGTACACGGGCATTTACTGAGTATTTTGAATGTGGTGCTCCCAAGTGATGACAAAAACTTATACACTTTCACTTGTTTCAATACGCGTTTGACAATAGGATTCACACATTGTACCGATGAGAGAATCAAACATGGGTCTTTGGCATGACGAGTGAGTGCTTTAGCCAGTAAGAAACCTCATTGTCCCTATTTAAAAGGAGAAGAAAGGAACCAGAAAAGGGCGCAGGGGAGGCAAGGGTCAACTTCTGTTGGTTAGGAAATGGTACTTGAATAAACTCAAAACCTACCACTTTAACCCCTCAAAGTAGTGGCTTGTCTAAAAGAAATCAAATAGATTCTGAAGTGTCTGTAATGTATTCACCTACCATAACGACTACTTGTTTCTTTAATGATTCGCTCTTCTACTTGTAGTAGATACACAAAGGCAAGGATCTCAGACTCAATTTCAGTCAGATGAATAATATGCCAATCGTTTCGTCTTTTTCGGTTTTTCTTGTCATTAAACAGGACTACCAATCTGGAAATCACACAGCACTTTTGTTTGAAACATGGAAAACCAATAACCGATTATTGAGGCATTTTAAGGGACGAAATGTTAGGATTGGCCTATTTTCTGATACAATGTTTGGGAACCAGATACTGTCGCTCCAACAATGAGTAAGAAGGCGACCATGCAGGAATATCTTGTCGACTTCAGACCATCTGAAACGAAAGTTCAACTCGTGGAGAAAAAAAACATCAGAAACTATTAATTACAAAACAAATATCCTGGCAGCACAACACGGTCACGTTGTCTAACGTGCGCCCGCCAGGCGTTGTGAGCTTATGTGGGCAAACTGTAAGTGGTTCGTGGCAAGACATAAAATTCAAACACACACATATCAAAGGGGTGATTAACGCAGCCTTTGCCGGAATCACACCAGAGATATGGCAAAATATTGAAGATCACGTTTTGAAAACGGTCACTTCCGGCAACGTGACAGCGTGGATATCAGCCTTGTTGCACCAGTTAGCATATCTTTAGGTGATACTACAGATGCAGATACGTCATCAGCTTGGTCAGCTGCTGTCTCAAGAATTCATCTGTAAAACAACAACTCCTTCCTGATACAAAAGCCCATCTCTGTCTACATTTATCATCATTTTACCTGTAATACTACCTTTCTAATCAGAAAGTGAGTTAGGTAAGAGTAGAATAGTGAGATGTAACATATGTATTATATTTGGGATAACACGTTCTCAGTAAAGTACAGATTCTAGTTCTTGCCTGCCATCCGGGATTGTGTGTTCATAGATTAGGTAAATTTGCGTTATTTGGATACATGCTATTTTCTTAGACCTATGATTCGTACTAATTAAATCCAACCAGAAAAGCATTTTTCAAGCATTTCCGACAATTCTGTAATTGTTTCAGTGTTATAAAGAAGGTTGATTGATTTGGATTGTATGGGTCGGATTTTATGACTGCTTCACAGTGCACGGAAACACGTTATCACAGTACTGTACTACTTTTGTTTCATTACAAAATGGCGGATGACAACAGAACAGATATGATGAAAGATGGAATTGTTTACATCAGTTATGTCTCCGAGGTTTACAGTTTGGAGTGATTCAGTGATGTTGACTCCAGCGTAGCCAACCTAAACAGTTCAGGTAAGGAAAAGGTAAAAAGTATTACAACTCAATGACATGGTTAAAATGTCGTAGCTGAACCAGTGTTTGATCAGTAAGCAACATGTCAGGGTGTATACATGTACTAACAAATGCAACAAGTGTCTGAGATACGTTTACGTCGTCTATTATCAGAAATAACCGAAAATAATGACGCAGAGAAACGTAACCTGCATCGTCAAGATCTACATCAACAATGAAGGAAGAATTGACTGTTGAGGCGATGATGTGAAAGGATATCATATAACTATGACTACCCCCCGCCATTGGGCACAATCAAATTGTGTTTGTTCGTATAGTAGTGAATAATAATATTATGAACGTGGATGTTAGCTATAAAAGTCATAAAAAAAACGTAAGAAGAGACAGTGACTAGGCTGGTTTTATGCCATGGGAAAATGTGATTTAATGTGAAATTAGTACACACCAAAGGCGCTTTCTAAATTATTAAGTATCTCAGTCTTGACAGGTTTCTCTTAAAATAATGCAAACGTAGATGTAGTATCACCGGAAACTTGTCCCCATTGATGACAGTATGCACAAAATCTAAAACATCTAGCAAGGGACGATAAAGAAAAACATATGACGCCAATTGTCTGACTCAGACGTGATACGTATATATTCTTAGATAAAATTGCAAAGTTTCATTCATGTAACTTCAGTAGCTTCTGAGAAAACGTGTCCTCATTTTACGCACTTATTAGATATCGTGACCAATAAAATCAATTTGAAACATTTCAATTATCTAACTTGAATAGTTTTGAGAAAACTGCGAAGCGGACGGAAGGACGGACGAACGGACGCACTCCTTTCCTATATCACCCGCCCCCATGGAGGAAATCCATGAAGATCCATGTTTGTCGTGACAGGAGACTAATGTGATCGGAGAGTCAGGCTCGCTGACTTGGTTGACGCATGTCATCGTATCCCAATAGCATAAATCGCTGCCCAGCATGTCAATCACTGTTCCACACTCGATTGTTTACAGTCCGCCTTCACATTGCTGAAATATTGCTTTGTTAAAAACAAGAAACAAAGACAAAAATACTTTTATTATATTTGGCATAAGCTTTGAAAGGAGAAATGTTCAACTTTTGCCGGGACATGTGTACTACGCGAGACCACCATAAAAGTACGCGTAAGCGTTGTCAAAACGTAGCCGATCAGCCGCTTGGTGAACCAAATCGTCTACCATTCTAATGGAGTCCGACGACTGCATACATTGGATTCAAACAAGACTTTTCAAGAGCAAGGTCCGCATACTCAGCTTGATTTTCCTGATAATTGACGACGACGCTGCTGTTAAAAAGGTATTTAAACTTAAATAACATAAAAATGCCACTGCTTCACCACATGGACATACCCAGGATTGTTTGCCAGTACGAGTGACTGGTCCTGGGAACAAAAAAGAAAGCCATCTGTCTCACTTTCGAGACCACCCAACTTCATGCAGGCAAAGGTGTAAGTAAGGTATCCGTTATTCTGTTCCACACGCTGCGCATAGTTATATAACAACAGCTGACGGAAGAAACTTTGCGTTAGATATTTCCATTGCGTTGACAGTTGTTCCGTTACTGGTTGATAGTGGTGAAACCAAGACTCATCACTTGTTTGTTTGTTTGATTGTTTGTTTGTTGTTTAACGCAGTACTCAGCAATATTCCATGGCCAGCTATATGACGGCGGTCTGTAAAATAATCATGTCAGGGCCGGCATCATGGGCATGGATCCACTTAACTGAGATCGATAACATGCATCAACCAAGTCAGCGAGCCTGACCACCCGATCCTGTTAGTTGCCTCTTACGACTAGCATGGTCGCCTTTTATGGCAAGCGTAGGTTGCTGAAGACCTATTCTACCGCGGATCTTCACGGGTCCTCATCACTAGTTACAAATCAGGTCTTTGAAAAGCATTTAAAAGTGATACACACAGGGACATCCATAAGGATACACATAAGTTGACATCCATATATTCCCCTCCTTAAATCGGTTGGGTCCGCTCCATATAGACGTAAGTTCTAACGCGATATGATAAGCATGGACTGTTTCTGCTTAGCCAGGCGCCTTGGAACCAAGCATGCTGAAACCAAGCATTATGTCATACGTATAATATTGATGATATGTTAACTAAAGGTAAATAATTGCTGTTACAGTAGCAATGATTGATAAAATACCAGATGGGACTCCGGGAACGGATGTATATCCTGCATATATGCTTGCTGCAAGATGCTCCTAAGTGTGATATGTGATCACGAACCCTGTACAGTGAAGCTCACAAAGTCTATCTGGCGCACGTACATGTAAGACGACGTGACCGTGTTGAGCCGCCAGGACATCCATCTTGTAATTAAAAGTTTCTTATTCAAGTGAATTTTATCCATGAGTTTAACTTTCGTTTCAGATGGTCTAACGGCGACATTGCGTGCAGCAACATAGAAAGTACAAACTGATTCCTTTACTTGGCTGATCGGTTTGAGGAAGTCCATCAAAATTTGTCATGATGTCAAAAGGTACATGTGCACTTCCAGGAATTACATTTGAATTATACAACAGGTTGTTCAATATTTTGTGTACATGATTTCAAGAGTGAGTGAGTGAGTGGCATTGAACATTATGTCAGTGACATGTCAGCGTGATGTAGGACATGATGACTTTGTAGCCGTTTACCAAACAGTCGTTCGAGAAAAACATGGGCACACAAAAAGTGCTCACAAACCAAGTATCATAACCATTAGCTGGGGCTCGAACCCACCATCAGCAGACGACAGGAATATATATGCCACGTGATCGTGCAACTGATTATCTATATAACAGGTCACAGCCTTGGATTCTGACCACATGAATATGATAGTTTTCAAACTCATCCAAAATCCATCACGAAGAACTAAATGCAACGCAGGTGTGTAAAAGGTTTAATTGAAATGTGAAGACAACACGGACATTTTAAACCCAATAACGTCACACAGAAATGATTATAATCGAAATCACAACTCAACATTCCCCATGACTCCGTCAAATACTGGATTCCGATTGGTCATTTTCTTCAACGACCAGTGTGAAATGTGTTTGTATGATTTTATGAGCTCTTTACCACGTAATGACACACTTGGATCGTGTTAACAAGGTATTCGTCTTAATTGTACAGATTTCGGATTAGACAGACCGTCATGTATCTTTCAATGCCTCTTCAAATTTCAAACAGGTCAGAATGTAAGAAACGGCGCGTACAACTACAGAAAATAGCCAGGTCATGACCGCTGATAGGAAACGCGATCGGTATGTTGTCTTTAAACGTGTATGACAACAGCTGCTTCTCATCGAACATATGTAAATGTTGTGTTTTTCTCCTCGAGGTGTTTTCGTTTTCATGTTGGCGTATAACATCTTGGGAAAGTGTCAGAGAAACCATCCAACGCTTTCGCAGACGAGTTATATGAGCCTCGCCTGATCAACCAACGTTAGCCACGGTACGAAAGGATTTCATAATTATTAAATCGGTCATGGTAGAATGGAGATAAACCTACAGTTAGAAAATAGAGGAATATTATGTAACGAATGAATAGCCTCTAAATCGAAACTAAAATAATAGCGTTTCAAACGAGAAAACTTAGAATAACATTCCTCTGATTTTCAAACACTACAGCTCGGTTTTTCTCCTAAATTATAAACGTGTGATAAAGAAGTGTCAGTGAATGTCAATGCGCTGCCTAGGTTGTTGCTCACGTTTAAGGGCACGGTACAAGGCTTTGCAACAGCTAAGAATGTCTGGTACTATCATCAGCCCAAACGTAAAAGACAGTAACACGATTCCAAGTGTGCCAACATCTTTGGCACTACTTCTCTCGTCAGGGGCACTGATGTATTTGCGTACAGTTTTCGACAATGATTTGGTATCCAACAGGAGTTCTTCCTTAATCTCGTCAGTGACCTCCTTCACGACTGCCTCATCCAGTACCTCGAGACGAGCACCTTTACAAAGGCACAAGCATGCGCTTGAAGTAGTGTCCTTGATACTGTTGGCCTTTCTGAACAAATTAGCCAGAATAGCTTCTGTGGGTGTGGCACCGGCCTTTAATGTAGTAGATATTCCAGGTAATTCAAACGAAATTTCCTTTTGGATCGAAGTTGTTGATATATATAGTGGGATTTGTGTCATTGCAGAGTTACTTGTCAGGATTGTTTCTGTTGAGGTTACATCGACGTTCAAAGTCGTGGGTATCATATTTAACTCAGAAGAAATACCTGGTTGTACCGGACTTGTCGATATGTGTGGTTGGAATTGGGACATTGTTAGAGAGGTTGTTAATGTATGGTACTCCGTTTCCGACAATGGCGTTGTTGCATACGTAGTTGTAGAAGGGGTAACCAGTGGTAGAGACACGGTCGCCGAGTCAACTGTCTGTGTGGAAGGTAATTCTGTGAGGCCTAATCCTGAATTGGGGGTGATCGTGGAGTCAGCGACAAGGAAATTAGTCACCAGACTAACAGACGTGAGTAATGAAGTATCTGGAAGAACAAAACATTATACGTCTGGAAATATCTAGAAAGACGCAACATTATACGTATTGAAGTATCTGAAAAGCTAAATATTACAATATGACTATAAGTATCTTGAAAGGCGAAACTATAATACTGTGCTATTGGAGCATCAAGAGTGACACAACATGTTGAAGTAACTGGAAGGACATATATTGTGCGTATTGAGGTATGTGGAAAGACAAAACATTGTACTATTGAAGTATCTGACATGACACAACATCGTACGTATTGCAGTAAATGAAAGACAAAACAGTATGCACATCGAAGTATCTTGAATGACACAATAGTGTACGTATGGAATTATCTGAAATGACACAATTGACTACATATTGAAATACATGAAATGAAACAACATTGTAAATAGTTATATCAAACACCTTCTGGGCATAGGAGATGAACGGGCACTATGAATAATATCACTTCAAAAATAGAGAAGAACAGATCTAAATGGCCGGCTCATGCCTGGAAAATCAAATAAATCTTTCTTGTGTGAATTGCATTACATTAACCCAAATGGGAACATTGTCAAGACAGCTGTTTACTGCTAGGTATTTATCTAATGAATATGATTGGGCAATCATCGTAATTGAAAGGGAGAGGCGTACAAAAACGTCTCTTCTATAATGGAATAGCACGTTTGCTGCAGCTCTTCGCTTGTGCAATCAAAACCCCATGCGATATCAAAGTATCGTGATTAAAGTGGTTGCCACGACGTGGCATTCATGAGTTTCAAGGCGTTTATATCAGTACTTGTCTAATTAAATGTAAAAGCGACCAGAACAGAGACCACGGCGATAAATTTTCATCTTCCCGAGACAAGGGAGTTAACTCACTGTAAGGTCCAGTTTCCACCCTTGCTGAACTCGGCTGGAATTGCAGGGTTCGACAGCAGAGTAACCTGTGACTATTACGAGTTATGTCCCTACCATGTCTCTTTTATTGACCAAACAGATTCCACCTATGATATCACTTACATTTGCTTCAAACAAAATGGCAGCGCCCAGTGAAGACGATATGATCGATTACCAAGATCTATATTGTACTTCGCGAAGTGAAGAGTAAAAACAAGAAAAGATTTTGAAAATATCTGTTGACGCCCAGTTGTCGGTAAACATGCTTTCAATTGCCAATCCTGCAATCGGCCGAAATCTGCATGGCAGTTTTTGAACCGCATGTTGATGTCGTTACGCGATTTTGATCGGACTATGCATAGACTCGTTAGTCCAGCCAAATAATAATTCCATAATTCCAGCCTAGTTCGGCAAGGTAGGAAATTGGACTTTTGTAGTCAGTAAACTCCCTTGCCTCGGAAACATGGAAATGTTCGGATCACAGAGAAAATGTTGAGATTGCATACGGTTGCATTGCAGTTATGAGAGATGAAATAATCTGTAGGGTACTACAGAGGACATTCTGAAGATGAATCTTCTTTATTGAATTGAATATATCGGGGTAGATTGCATTTTCATAATAATTCTCCACATTCACTTTCGAAGGGATTGCATAGTTATTGAATATTTAAATACCGTATACTTTCTGTGACTGGTTATATTTTCACTAACAAGGCATGAATGTTTAACCAACACCCAACATAATCAACCGTAGAGCTATTTGTTTAAACTTTAATGCTTACATGTGTATCTGTTTTCCTCTGCTGCGAATATTGCTGGCTCGGTGATATTTGTTTGTTTGTGTTTTAACACCGCATGCTGCAATATTCAATCTGAATGATGGCGGTCTGTAAATAATCTGGATTCTGAACCAGACAATACAGTGATTGATATCATGCGCACTCAACAAAGTCACAGTGCCTGACCACCCGATCCATTTAGAGTCTCCCACGAGTATAGCCTGTTGAGCACCTTTATGCCAAGCAGGAATCCCCACGACTGTCCATGACAGTGGGGATGATAGTAAAAGATGAATCACTACAGTAGGGAGATCGTTTCTAAATAAATCAGTGGCTGAGTATTCGCCTTTGGGGGAATTATATAAGTTTCATGTTGTCGACACTGGCATCGAAGGGGTCGATGTGAATGTAAAATAGTTTATAGTCTCGTTCAGCTCCATTGATTTATATATCTAAAATAGATTGTTTTTCTCTCTGTGTCCTTAAAAAAATTAAGGTCTGTTCAGTTTGTTCAATTCCGTGTCGTGCACAGAACGAGAAACACCCTAACACCTTCCTGTGTGAGCCCCGTTTGCCTTTGTTCTCGACACCCTCAATGGTTTGGGCGAGTTAGTATAAAATGTCGGTCTTTTGAATAAAGTATGACAAAACGTACGGTTGTGATGCTTTAATGGATTTATCTCATTTTGATAATGACAAAACCTGTGTTCATAAAAAAGAGAGTCATGTGTAAAATATATTAATCACAATCACCAAATCATCCTGACACTAGTTTCCCGAGAGTGTTTCCATTTCATTTAACACAATATTACCTGTAGTTGGTGCTACGTTCACCGCAAGAGGATAGCATGCCACTATTATGATTCTGTTAAGTGTTTCTATGCAAGTCATATATGAAGTCTAACAAACCCCTGATGCGTGGTGTATTATTGTGTTTACCTGCGAGGCAACTGTTGTATCGTTCATATATTGATCACATCTCGCCCACATATCGGAGCCAGGATCTCGTAATGAGCATATCAGTAAATTAACAACCCCGATTTTCACTAGATCAATGGCGTGTTCGCTTAAAACAGAAGATGAATATTCGATGTGTGCTGTGAACGAAATACAACGGAGGTGTTCTTTTCAAAATAATGGTTCTAGCTATTTGGTCGATAAGATTAGAAATACACGTCACTTCTTTAAACGATCTGAGTCATGCAATCTAGATCAGTATTAATATGCATCATTTCATATCCAGTTTTGTATATTGGGCTTCAATATAATGTTCTCTACATACTGTCACATGTGTGTTCTGGTTGAATTATAGCTGAAATATAGCCTATTGGTAACGACTATGTCTAAAATAGAGCCAGGTAGCGTTAGATCATACTCCTTTAGGGGAGACCATTTGATAGTCATGGACTGATGCCGTGGTCTGCCCCCCCCCCCCCCCCCCACACACACACACAGGACTGTAGGTAACAGGGATACATATGGGCGTATGTATGATTTCATGTCATCAACTGTGACACGCAGAAACACTGACGGCGACATGCGAGAAAATAGTCAACCTATCGTGCACATACAGATCTACGTCCAAAGTATAGCCAATCCGTTCTTGCACATAAAGACCTGCGGCCCAAATAGACACCGTCACACATTACACACACACACACACACACACACACACACACACACACACACACACACACACACACACACACACACACATTCACACACACACACACACACACACACACACACACACACACACACACACACACACACGCAGACATACGGCTAAAGTATAACCTCATTCATATCTAACACACACAGCCCAACAGCCCAAGCATATAGTAACTTAAGCCATATTTTGCACATACAGACATACGGACACGTAATTTGCCAGTCACATCATACATCAGTAGTGTTGTCGGCAACGCATTGCACATACAGATATACGAAACTATTATGGTCAGAATTGTATTGAATACCTACATGGTATTTCGTCCTAACTCTAGTCAAACGTACCTGGATCATATTGACAAACATCTCCAGTAAAGCCAGATTGACATTCGCAGACAAAAGAGTCATTTACTACATGGCAGATGCCGTTGTTCAGACACGTGCTGCTCCAGCATATCTGCGGCTCTGTAAATACAAGGGTAATATGTCCATACATGCGAAATAAATGTAAAATATGTATAATTATGTAAAATGTATATGTCTTGATATCATCTGGCGTAACTATTATCAAATAATAGGGAGTGTTCTGGCACATTCATTAGCCTAGAAGTGATCACAATGTCATTCGATAGGAACGCACATGTCAGTCGACCTATTTACGAAGCTCTCTTATCGCTAAAATTGCCTTAAAAGCGACAAATATCTTAACTTTTTATTCTCGAAGCTGTCTTAGCGCTATGTCATCCACGTTTCATAGAACTATTATGACAGGGTCAGTTCTATCTAAGGGACGTACGAAACATCAGATGGCGGAAAAGGACGGCATGTTGAAGAAAATTATTCGACAGTTCGGGGTCCACTGTTTCATTTCTAACTGCAAACAGCATGTTTTCTCTTGCACGTTCAAAACACGAACAACAGATCCTGGAGAACACACCACCAACATTTACCGTTATGACGTATTACTCGTGATAGCATCACACTCATCCCATACAAATTGCTAAGCGATTCAATCTACAAATGTACGTTTTCGTTTATTTAAGTTGAAACATTACAGCGTGTTTGTATGTTATGGAAATGACCGTGAGCTTTTCTTGTCAAGGGCAGTAAATTTCAATAGCGTGTGGGAGTTGTTTCCCTTTGTCTACCACGTGAGAAGGCGTCTAGTTGAGAGCATCTTGTCGAGTATGTATAGATGGAGGGTATGACGTTCGAAGACATTTAGTCCATGAATGAATATGTCATAACAGTGATAAACGAAACGAGTCACGTTTATTCTCGCAGTGTTGTTTAAATATACTTAACGCCATTTGCAGACAGAAACCAGTGTGTTTTTTGTAGATCGACGTCACAATTCACGTTTACTACATTTGCTGGAGTAATTTTAGTCGTTACCGTACAGGGATCCTCATGATGAATTCGTGAAGATCTGATTTTAAAGGGATTGCAATGTTATTTTAAAATCAATATAATTATTTCTTCAAGGATGTTTGCTCATAGTGTGTGGTGCAGCCTGTCTGTTTTTTACACGGCAATACTGCTAAAATCCCTTGCCCTTGTAAATATATGTCCGTTTTGCAAGATGTTAGATCCTACACTGTGACACTCACAGGCGATAGTTTACAAAATGTAACAAAGAAACATATGCATGTAGGGTATTTACAAACTGCCATGCACACCGATAATCATTTGGATGATCTAACTGTGCAACATTCAGACAATTTGTTGTCTTAGAGTTGAACATAGTCTTTTTCTGAGGTGAAGCAGTGCTCTCCATCCGTCCTAATTTTGTTTACAAATTATTACGGATATATCGCCAGCTGCAGGTGTGTTTATAAACCGAATGAAAAGTGTGCGACCCTGTATTTATATCGCAACGTTACGACACACTTATGATGTAATTGCGACAAATTCTTTATATCATGGTCAATCGTCAATGTTTTACGATATTATCTTCACTGATTATTTGCACATAACAATAATATGAATAAAACAGCTAGGTGGCAAGAAAAGAATCGATATTTATCCTCAAATGCGGCTAAGTTTTAATCTTTGAATAGTATATATTTACACATTTACCTCCGTCACAGCAAGGGCCAACTGTCATAGCTTTGATTTGTGTCGTAAGTAAGATAGCGTTGCGATAGGTTATAGACAGTTTCCCTCTTAGATAGTCGCGAAGATTTATCTTAGCTAGGACAGCTTCATGAATAGGCCGGAAAGGTCTTATAATTTCCGGTATCAATCGACTTGCGTTACTGAAAATAGAATACAAATAACACGAAAGTGGCATTTCCCAAGCCTTAATCAATTACATGTCTCCGATTCACTTCGGGATTCGTCCAAAATATAGAGTGGACACGCGGTGATTTAACTGAAATACTGTCTGGAGTAATATATGGTGAATTATGACTATACTTACCTAATACCATGCCTAACGGAAAAGCGACTCCACGAAACTTTAATGACACCGAGTACAGCGTGGCACCGAAGATGGTATTGTTGTCAGTCTGCAGCTGGAGAGGCCATGTTGTTATCTGGGTGTGTATTACACCATAATTACTGTTACTCAAAGGAGTATGGGTTGCTTTCAACATCGCCTCTAAGGCCCCAATACTATCTACAGATGCAATCACAGTTATAAAGTCAGAACCTGAATATGCTCCGATACCTTGTCCCAAATCAGAACCAATAAAATAATCGTTCGAGAAACTATTTGTTGATGGAATTACTGCCATAAAGGGGTCCCCTTTTTTGTCAGTGTTAACCTTGACGCCTTTCCCAAAGGCTACGACCATGACAGGATCAGATGTCTGGATGCACTGCTCACCGTGTGTGTCTGTGTCAATGTCAATAAAGTCGAGGGAATTGATATAGTAGACAGCCCCAGAACTTGAATTAACTGTGGTATTGTCCACGACCGCAACTATTCTGTTGATGGTTCCCGCTGCTCTCCCCGCGTTAGTCAACACATACTCAAACCCGAAATCTTTCACCGGTATTAGCATATCCTCCATGACATCCTTGCCGTTGACGTTAACAGGGACCTTTCCTCCGACGTTACCTGACACAACGCTGATTGGTCTGTTACTCGTGATTGACGTTCCAGTAAGGTCTTCAGTGCAATGGACACCGATAACGTCCAGTCGATGCAGCATATGTATAGAGATGTCCCCCGTCTGGTAACCATCAGGACCACACACACCACCATGTGTGTTGTAATGAATTATCACCTCTGTGGCGTCTTCAACTGCTGCTACAACGATGGATGTATTAAAGAACGTCCTTGTGTATGATACTGCAATGTAATAATCACCCAGGACATTAACAGGGATGGCGAGGAATCCGGACCCCGAGTTAGACACGTAGCTATGCGAGTAGACTGTAATATTTGCTGTGGCATTAATGAACATAGCTTTTTTCACAACGGCTAGATTCTCTTCGTATCTGTTGTCCCATTGAAGCTCGACGGTGTGTTGGGAATATGCTAGGATTGTGAAGGAGTCTGTCTTTGATTCCCAAGGGATTTCAACATATACCGATGTCTCCACCTTTGTCACCATTTTGATGTAAATTGTCCCTTTTTTCTCAAAGTTTGACAGAAATGGAATGACAAACTGCTGGCCCCAGGTGCTTTGTCCTCCTGTTACTGAAACAACGAGTTCAACAGTTAAGGCTCACTTTTCCACATATTTATCGTAAGTATTATCTATCATTCAAATATTGTCAATTAAAGATTGACTGTGTATATTTCCCGGTTCATTGAGGTATGAATCAGCAACCGATGTGCAAACTGTATGAATCCGCGTCCTGGCATTCAAGATTAATACAGTGATTCAATATTAAGTGCAGCTTTCACGATAGATTAACGTACATGTACAAGTGAGCTACGTACCTATATGGTAACAGAGTCCATGCAAGAGAAAGGCAGAGTACACCTGAAACAAGAATACACATTGATATAAAATACAGGGATATGTAGATAAGTGGACAATTGTTTTCGTAAAATAAATAGTACTTTCTTTGTGAACGAGCGGCTCCCCGTGCGTCATTGGGGCGCACCTGTACATGTCCACAGCAGATTGCCCTGCTTTCTTGTCGTAAGATGCGACTAACAGAATCGGGTGGTCAGACTCGTGGACATGGTTGATGCATGTCATCGATCCCAATTGCGTGGATCGATGCTCATGATATTAATCACTGGATTGTGTGGGCCAGACTCAATTATTTACAGACCGCCATTGTATTACTGTTTTGCTACTACTCAGATATTATTATTTACAGAAATTGTTGTGTCCAGCAAAACATTATTTGTGTCTGCGAAAGGAGACGTCAAACACATCCATCATGTCTAGCATACAATGTATTTTTGGGTAAAACCAGAGGACAAGTTATTTTTGTTCGATCTCTTCTGGAATCCTTTAGTTTATACATTATATATCACCAACCCTCTCCTTCCACTTCCCTACACACACACGCACACGCACTCAGACACACGCGCGCGCACGCACTCACACACACGCGCGCGCACCCTGGGGATGGGCCACGTCCAGGATGGTCACATCGAGCCCGGGTACGTGACCTGACGAGGAAGCCGTTTGACCATTATACTACCTCGGCCATCATGTTCCTGGTGAACAACCTTGAAGTGTATTGTTAAAAGTACTTCAATGTTCAAATTCAATAACATTGCGTGTATAGACAATAAATCACTTTGAGGAACTTATGTACACTCTATGACCCCAGCAACCTTGTTGCTAGGCTTACGTCTCGTGGCATTGCTTCGCCGATGTATCTTGTAACAAAATTTCACAAATCATGTCATTGCGTAATGTGACGTGTTTGTAAATTTCACGTTGCAACGGACGTCGTAAGTATAAGTTACAGTATGGGAGCAATCTGCCGACAGAGAGTGCTGGCATTACTGGTGAGTAATAGCTGAACGTAAGATTGTCTTTTTTCCGGGTTTGACGGAAATACTCGAAAGTGAGATTGTATAGCGCCACGATATCTGAATTCTAAAGGTAAGCCGATGAAAGGTATTTAAATAGTACCTGTAAACCATTAGTGTGTTTGGTGTATTATTCTGCCAATTTAAACACGACAGTGACATATAAAAAGACTACAAACGCCAAGTAATAAATGAAATACATACTGAACGAGCTCGCGTGTAATACTAATTTTAGTAAAATCGAACAGCTGTTTTCGATAAACTTTGAATTTGTTTGAATTCTTTTACAATGTCGTATTAATACATGTCGGTAGCGGGTTGGTTGGTTTGTCGTTTCATGCACACTCAGCTATATCCCAGCGACATGACGGCGGTCTGTAAATAATCGAGTCTGGACCAGATCTAGACAATCCAGTAACTGATATCATGAGCATCGATCAACGACAATTGGGATCGATGACCTGCTTCAACCATGTCAGCGATCCTGACCACCCGATCCCGTTAGTCGCCTCTTACGACAAGCATAGTCGCCTTTTACGGCAAGCATGGGTTGCTGAAGACCTATTCTACCCCGGATCTTCACGGGTCTCATTGTAGCAGGATCACTCGGGGTTCAAAGGGTTTTATGCGTCGCGCGTTAGGTTTTAAGGTATAAAACCTAACGTGGGACGCATAAAATCTCATGCACCCCGAGTAGCTATAAAACCTAACGCGGGACGCATAAAATCTCATGCACCCCGAGTAGGTATAAAACCTAACGCGGGACGCATAAAATCTCATGCACCCCGAGTAGGTATAAAACCTAACGCGGGACGCATAAAATCTCATGCACCCCGAGTAGGTATAAAACCTAACGCGGGACGCATAAAATCTCATGCACCCCGAGTAGGTATAAAACCTAACGCGGGACGCATAAAATCTCATGAACCCCGAGTAGGTATAAAACCTAACGCAGTACGCATAAAATCTCATGAACCCGGAGTAATCTTGCAACACCTTATAATTTATACATACATATATATTAAACATTATGATGTTTTGTCAGTTCTTTTAAAATATATAAATAATATAAATGTCCATTATAGGCATGTTGTAGCTTATTTCGTACTGGCAGTGTCAGGTTATGATACATTTCGACACTTAACTTTAACGTTTTCATTCGTCAATCCATTACATAGAGCGGAGACACATTTTGAGGAATAAAAGGACATGCGGTAAAAAAACAATGCCTTCTTTCCACCCAACTCACGCTCAAGGGCAGTAACGCCATTATCCACATATCTGATGGTCGATTCATGCTGCTATTTATTTACACTCGCATTTATTCCTTTTACCATTGCTGCCTGTAATGCATATTATTGTTTGGAGTTAAAACAGACTGCATTTAACAGATATCGTCCTCTGAGTGCTGATGGAATGGATGATATACAGGTAACTCCCATGTTTCCGACTGAGAAGATATTACACAACCAGATTACATAACATCGATTTCAATGCGCTGCTAAATATAAATAATTTTATAACTTTAAAATTTTCGAGAGGAGATAAAAAATCGATGCAAATACTCTCAACGTGATTTCAACCGAAGAGTCCGTTAGCGAGAAAACACCACTGATGAAATACTTTGTATCATATTTCACAATTTACATGTTTAGCCTGTGTGAGTCTCAATACATACAAATGCAAAAAAGGATTTACAAATAGTTTTACATATTATTCAAACACAGAGAAAATACTGAAAGTTGCAAGAAAACAATTGCAAATGTACTGCAGGACAAAGGAACGTTGTAGGGTAACGATGAAATCTAAACGAATCGAGGCGACCAGCTACCATTAACCTTTAATGTTATTCACAGTAAACACAAAAATTGATAAAAATGCATATATATATATATATATATATATATATATATATATATATATACATACATACATATATATATATATATATATGCTAGTCTTTTTGATATGTCATAACGCTACCGCGCATTTATGCACTTGCTCCATAAATCAGCTCATGAACTAGTATCATGGTGTAGTTTATTTATGTAATATGATCAGCAATTGTGACCATAGCCACACATACGTAAAGACATGTATTATGTACATGTATACGCTTATATCTCAGACGAATTATCACCAGGGCAGATCTTGAACTCACCAGGGTCGATTGGAAATGATATATACTTAGAAACGCTATGCGGATATTTTGGGCCATAAAAGCAACAGTAGCGGACCAAGAGGTGCAAAATGAACAGCTTTAATGTGTTATAGTTTCCCGGATCAAAATGATAACATTAAGGACATGCAAACCATTAGTCGGGAAACACGTACGATTCGGGGAAAAACGGGCCATGGAGCTGCACGCACTGCACGTACAGCAGCACTATGAATGGTATTAAAGTGCAGGGTTTTTGATTGCCTGGCATCTGCGACAGTGACAGTTCAAGAACATGCCGAGATTAACAGAAGTGCAAAGAAATAACGCCATATGCCGCTTGCAGGCAGGGAAATCCCGATCAGCTGTAGCCAGCATTTTCAATATAGCACTCAGCACCATCACAAGGCTATGGGATCGGTTTCAACAGCATTGGTCAACACGTGATTGGCCAAGGTCGCGACGACAAAGAGTAACCACCCCCGCCCAAGATCCGACTGCACCACCTACGTGAAAGGACGACAACCAGCCACCTCAACCGCATCCCAAATACCCGGACGGAGCAGAATCTCCGACCAGACAGTACGGAACCGTTTAAGAGCAGCAGGTCCACGAGCAAGACCTGTTCGGCGCGTCATATTGAGTCCACAATATCGTCAACAACGACTGCATTGGTGTCGTCAACACAGGGTATGGCCTCAGCTGCGATGGAGAGATGTCTGGTTCAGCGACGAATCAAGATTTCTCCTCCGTCGAGGGGATGGAAGAGCACGGGTCCACAGACGTCGTGGAGAACGTTACGCCGGAAACGGAAGTAGGTATAAAACCTAACGCGGGACGCATAAAATCTCATGCACCCCGAGTAGGTATAAAACCTAACGCGGGACGCATAAAATCTCATGCACCCCGAGTAGGTATAAAACCTAACGCGGGACGCTTAAAATCTCATGTACCCCGAGTAGGTATAAAACCTAACGCGGGACGCATAAAATCTCATGCACCCCGAGTAGGTATAAAACCTAACGCGGGACGCATAAAATCTCATGAACCCCGAGTAGGTATAAAACCTAACGCGGGACGCATAAAATCTCATGAACCCCGAGTAGGTATAAAACCTAACGCGGGACGCATAAAATCTCATGAACCCCGAGTAGGTATAAAACCTAACGCGGGACGCATAAAATCTCATGTACCCCGAGTAGGTATAAAACCTAACGCGGGACGCATAAAACCTCATGAACCCCGAGTAGGTATAAAACCTAACGCAGGACGCATAAAACCTCATGAACCCCGAGTAGGTATAAAACCTAACGCGGGACGCATGAAATCTCATGCACCCCGAGTAGGTATAAAACCTAACGCGGGACGCATAAAATCTCATGCACCCCGAGTAGGTATAAAACCTAACGCGGGACGCATAAAATCTCATGTACCCCGAGTAGGTATAAAACCTTACGCGGGACGCATAAAATCTCATGCACCCCGAGTAGGTATAAAACCTAACGCGGGACGCATAAAATCTCATGTACCCCGAGTAGGTATAAAACCTTACGCAGGACGCATAAAATCTCATGCACCCCGAGTAGGTATAAAAACTTACACGGGACGCATAAAATCTCATGCACCCCGAGTAGGTATAAAACCTAACGCAGGACGCATAAAATCTCATGAACCCCGAGTAGGTATAAAACCTAACGCGGGACGCATAAAATCTCATGTACCCCGAGTAGGTATAAAACCTAACGCGGGACGCATAAAATCTCATGTACCCCGAGTAGGTATAAAACCTAACGCGGGACGCATAAAATCTCATGAACCCCGAGTAGGTA